ACCGCGCGCCGCGTGCGTGCCGCCGCCCCATTTCTCGCGTCGAATTGCTTTCATTCATAACTTTGGACACGGCCCGGCCCGGCCCGGCCCGACCAGCACCCCTATCGGGGCCCCCCATTCAGCGCATGCCGCCCTGGGCCGTGGACGCCGCGACGTGGCGACTGGGGGGCGGCAGGGGGCGGCAGGGGGCGGCAGGGGGCGGGCCAAACCCACCACTCCACTCTCCGCGCGCGGCGAGGCGGAACGGCGCGCCCCTGTGATGCGAAGGCTATGCACTCCCGCAAGACGCGGGCGCTGCGCAGGGCTGCCTGCCCTCTCCACCACAGGCGCGCACCAGAGCGGCAGCCTGACGGAGCAGGAGCCCCGGAACGGGTTTCTCAAAACAGGGAGAGCTGTCCTTCACATGGGGAAAGCGGCACCCCAGTTTGAGTTCGGCCGACGTTGACGTACCTGGCACCTGGCCGCTGCAGCGTGCACTGCAAGACGTGACACCCGGGCAGGCGTCGCGCGACTGCTTTCAGCAGCGACGAACGAGGCGACGAGGCCCGGGCGGCTCTCCGTACGCCACGCCACGCCGCGCCCCGCCCCGCCACGCCGCGACGCTGTGGAAATCCCCCAGATTCGGCACTGCTAAAGCGCGGCTTGGCGCATTGGACCGCGAGCACCACGCCGCGGCGGCATGCACGAGCAGCGGCCTCATTCCGTAGCGGACGCGCCATGAGTGCGAGCGAGACAGAGCGACGAAAACGACTCTCGGAATCGGTCTGCAGGTGAACCGGCACCACGACGGCGGCGACCTTGACGGCGGCGACTGCAATGCCACTGCCACGGCGAGCCGAGGCTCCAGAAGCCTCACGGCGGCAAGCGCGCCCTCGTCGTCCTGCTGCTGCAGTACAACACCGTGTCCCACTCTAGCGTGCCTGTTGACTTTTCATCATCGCTCCTTAGATATGCAGGCAGGCGGTGGGCGTCGCGTTCCAGATCGGCAGGCCCGGCAGGCCGAACAAGGGCCTAGGCCTCCGATGACCCTTGACCTTAGACGCCCCGCTCATCGACCCCTCTTCGCCCCTGGCTTCCTTCCGGGCCCATCGGGCCGCGACGGGCCGCCCACCCCGTGCATCATGCACACCGCGGCCAACAATACCCGAGGCCGCCGCGGCCGCCAGGTCACCGTCGTCGTCCACGACGGCCACGTCCAGGTCGAACGCCCCGAGCGCCCCCGGCCTGCGGGGGCCCATTCAAATTGCATGCGGATATCGATGAATGGACGGCGCCCCCACCGAGCCCCAGTACAGCCCCAGTACAGCCCCAGTACAGCCCCGGTACAGCCCCGGGCCCGACGCCGCCGCCTGGCCTTGGTCCACCTCCACCGGCGGGGAGCGCAACGCGTCACTACAGCACCGCACGCAGCACCACCGGAGGCATGGAGACAAAGCGGAAGAGATTCGTAAACGTCCGCCCAGGCTACTTTCACCCACACCCTTGCACACACACACACTCGAACCATTAGCGCCCCGCCTGGTCGGCGTTGCCCCGACGCGGAGGTCAGTGCGCCCAGGGGCCGTGCCCGCCGTCGTGCCCCAGCGGCCCCCTGCAGGCCCTGCTTGCCAGGCCGGAACGGTCGCGGCGGGGCGGGGCGGGGCGCGGTACGGGAGGACCAAACGGAGCTTCCATCCACGTCATCTAGAGTCACCGAGTCGCTCCTTTCTGGAAAGAATCGATTGCATGCCGCACGGGGGGAGCATGCCCGGGGCGCGGGCCGCGGAGAGGGCCGAGACGGGGGGCGGGCCGTGCCGACAGGGCGAGTCTGTCTGCGGGTCGCGCGGGGCGGCAGGCCGCGTTTCGAGATGAATACCTGCAGACTGATTCCGAGTCGCTCTCACGGCTCCGCCTTTCTTACTCTCGTAGGGCGTTACGGCTCCAGCAGGGTAGGCAAGGGCCAAGGGCCGTGTGAGGGCGGCCAGAGGCGGCCAACGGGGCAGGTGCACGGGCGGCCCGAACAAAGCATCCATACGGACAGGGAGCGCCGAGGCAGCGCCGGTCGCCGTTTCGCGAGAGAGGAGCCCAGCCCCCCAGGGGCCCCTGTCCGCCCCAGCCCGCCCGCCTGCCGCTGCTCGGCGCTCGGCCCTAAGCGAACGGCGTAGCGAGAGCGGCGAGAGCAGCGGAGCCCTTTCGGGAGGGGGGCGGGGGGTCACTCACACCGGGTAGGGGTCACGCCGTGTCAGGCCGCGACGCACTGCGCAACGGGAGCGAGAGAGCGCGCGACAACAACACGACGCCGCCAGGCTGGCGGAGGCGTGCGCGCGACAAGGACGGCGCTACGCGCTACGCGTGCGCAGCGTGCCGCCCCGCGTCCCGCCGCCACCGACCTACCCTACTCGCTCCTCCCGCCACCCTCCACGCCCTCCCAGCCGCCGGGGCCGCCAGGACCACCCCCAGGACCCTCACGGCCCCACGGGCGTGCGGGGCGCGGCGTCTCGCTGCGGCCGGCCTCCGCCCCGCCCGGCGTCGCGGCGTCGCGTGCCCACATGCACTCCATTGAGACGGACAGCACAGCGCGGGGCGGCGCGGCGCGATACATCCCGCCCTGGTCGAGGGCTAGGTCGAGCAGCACTGCCCCGCACGCACGCCAACAGTTGACCTACATGCTGGACACAAATAGCAGCCGCAGAGCCAACTGCACGCCCCGCGTCACGCACGCACTAATTTCAGAGCCCTCCAGCAGGCTCGGTCCGCCGTGTCCCTCGCACTCATGGCGCGCCCGGCAGCAGGGGTGCGAGAGAGACAGACAGAGAGACACTTTCCGTTTCCAGCCAAGCAATGCCGAGCAATCAGAGCCAATTCATTGCGCGGTCTGCGTCCCGGCGAGGGGGCGGGCCGTCGAGTCGACACCCTCGGCTTCGTCATCGTCACCCAGAGCGAGGTGTGCCCTGGACAAGGCGGGGCTGGCGGGGCGGCCCCGGGGCCCTTGGCCTGCACCACGCCGACGGCCCGGCCGTCCCACCAGCCAGTCCAGTCCCACCCACAACAACACGAGGCGAGGCTATTTCGGGACGCGGTAGTCGGACGAGCCAGACAGAGCTGTCCAGTAGTGGGGACCAGGACCTCCCGACCCCACCTCCTTCCCCCTACCCGCGCGGCCCCGGCCGGGACCCCGAGACACTTTCCGGGACTAATCATACAGGGGCACTACACTGAGAAGCGCAACAACCGGCCGGGCGCTGCGACCAGCCTGGACCAGTGGCGTGGCTAGCAACGCTAGCAAGCAACCAGCATCGCATCTAGGCTCAATCGGGCGAGCGCTTCGCCAGGCCCCCGAGGAAGGCAGCATGTCGCGCAACATTCATTCATCAAGCGGGGGCGGGGCGGAACAAAAGGCCGTCGGCGGACGAGCGGGCGGACAGCGCGGCCGGCAGCAGGGACAAAAACCGATACAAATGGAAGCCCGCGAGCCGCGAGCTGCAGCGCGGGGGTTAGAGAGAGAGAGAGAGAGAGAAACAGCTAAACACTCACCAGTGCTAAGTACAAAAGAATTCCTGTCGGGAGGGTACTCCGTCTCAAATGGTTTGCAGATGGCCCAGAAATTCCCATCTAAAAAAATAGGAGAATATTTATAATTATGGAAACAAACACACATCCTAAAAAGATTTTGTGTAAAAAAAACACTGTACATAATGAGTGCAAAATTACAAGCGATCGTAATAGAGCGCAAAAACTAAAAGTTCACGGGCATAAACGCGTAATTAGCAAGAACCGTGTCTCATTAATTTTAATTCAAAAAAATATCTAGAAGGCACAACTCCACATTTGAACAACCCACAGTACAGACTCAGTGCTTCATTCCATAAAGCAATAAAATCCATTAGTTTTAAAGCGAAATAGCATTTAGCTTCAAATTTGCAGTAAAACAGGAGCTCACGGGGGAGCGAAATATCTTGTTTACATTTGAGGCGAGCGGCCTTTAACGGCCGCGGCCAAAATGTCATTCCGCTTCAAAGGCCAAAACCGCGAAAAAGGACCTACCCCGACCCACTGGTAAGCGCGGGGGGTTCGGATTGGCGGTAAAATCAACGCAAAACCGTTGCAGAATTAATCAATAAGGCACTGGCGCGGCGAGGGCTAAGTCGGCTCAGGCCCGCGCCCGCCAGAGCCAGCGGCGAGGGAAGGCTGGGGAAGGCAAAGCGGCACACGAACCTGACAAGAGCGGAGGCGACAGGAGATCGCCGGATCACTCAAATGCCCAGCCAGGCGCACTTGGCACTCCACCGACTTGCTGGGGCGTCCTCCAAGTCCGCGTAGTCCGCGTCCGACGACGACGTCGCTGCAGCGGCGCGGTGCGGCGCGGTACGGTGCAGCGTCGGTGCGGCGGCCGCCAGGCGTCGTCCTCGGCGGGGCGTCGCGGCAAGCGGGGCGGGTTGCGGCTGGTTGCGGCGTTGCGGGTGGAGGAGCACTGCGTCGCTACGCTGCGCGGCCAGCCAAGCAGCCCGGGCCCACGGCAGCACGGCGTAGCGCGGCGTCGGGCGAACAGCTGGCGTCGCGAGGCGCGAGGCTAGGCGGCGGCGCGGTGCGGCAATGCCAGGGCGGGCAACACAAACCGTAACCCCGGGCGGAAAAGCGCGGCGGGTTGCCTGCCCTGCGCCGTGCGCTCTGCGCCACTCCGCGACGGGGCCGCGCGCCAACCAGCGTGCTGGGCTCCTGTAAGCTGCTGGAGTGGGGCGCGGGGCGCAGCGGCCCCCCAAGACCCTCTTGGTCGATCCCCGCGGGCGCCAACTTCAACCTCTGCAACAAGACGGTCGAGTAAGCCGACGGCTGTGCGCATCAGAACAATCAGCTGCTGCTCATGCAGGTCCGACGTTGGGCGCTTTGTTTGAGTGAATCAAACACTCACCTCAAAATTTGCAATATAGATGGTGTCAAGTGTTTTTATCATCAGCTCGAGAGAGGCGCTTTCATGTAACGTGTTACTATAGGTAGGAATAAATAAAATGCAAAACAGTCTATATGACAATCACATCCAGATTTATTATTCTAAGAACAATTAGATTCACATTAATATCCAAATCAGATATAATAAGCATCACAATCGAAGAAGTTGAGCTATTAAGTCAATCATAGCTCAACAACCACTCTCAAAATCACACATTTTAAAAATACTACGACTTGTAGAACAAATGAGAGAAACAAGGTTTGAAGCCGGATCAACATGCAAATAAAATAGATGAAAGCCAACTGACTTGTCAAAATTGGGTGTTGTATACAACGAAAATATAGACAGCCTGCTGTCTTAAGCTTTATTCATGGAGTCTGATCGGTATGACTGATTCAATTCATATTCTATAAACACTACTTAAACTATTTTCGGGTCTTTCGAACCTTGGCCACTCTGCCAGCAGCAGCCCCCTTGCGAGCCGCACGGACAAGACCCTTGAATTGTCCTTCCTGCTTCAGTCTTTTCCTGAAAGAAAATTGTTAGTGAATAAATTATGTATTCTTACCATAAATATAACAGCAATAAAAGATAATTCTTTTACCTCTTATTTAATAATCCTCTGTTTAATGGTACATATGCGTATGGATCTGGAGCTCCTCCCTTCTTCACATCACCCCTGGCCTTCTTGGCGCGGTACTCAGCACCATAGGCAGTGGAAGTGGTAGATTTCCCACTCTTGGCCGTTTTAGCACTAACACCACTTTTTACACTCATGGCTTTCCCAACGGGTCTATGAATACCAGACCCACCAGCTGAAGCCAAAATTGCACATTTAGTAAGACAATAGACAAACAATAAAAAAAAACAACTTGAAATATTTTATTGCTCAAACATACTTTTATACTTATCGTTTGGACCAGCAGTTGTGGTACTGCGAGCATCACTATTACTCAATTTACGTTTACGTCCTTTAGCAGTGACTCCACTCTTGGTGCTCTTAGCATCACCATCGTCATTACCATCAGCATCCATGTCCTCATCTGCACATTGAGAAAGGATAATATAATAATCAAAAGACAAACTTAGAGAAAACTAAAAAAAAATTGAGAGCTCTCAGTAAAACCGCACTGACCTGATTCTGAATCTGAGATAGTTGGAATCCTTCGACTTGATTTAAATTTACGTTCTCCTTCAGTTTCCTCATCATCACTACCTTTGTCATCAATGATAAGCCTCCCATCTTCAGCAGTTTTAAAACCGCGGTCTTTGACCTTCTTTGACTGCTTAGCAGCATTTGATCCAGTGGCTACATTAGGCCTTGATGCTGTAATACAAAATTTAAAATAAACAATTGAGAATTATTTTTTTTACAAAATATTGAAGTGGCTTTTAATCAATGAGGAGAACAATACACACCACTTATTTTACTTGCAGCCATAGAATCTGCAAGATCAATAATATCTCCTGGTTCTTCCTTAATCCAAGCTTGTGATTTCTTTTTCCCTCCCTTTGAGGCTTCATTTTGATCAAGATCGAGCTCATCATCACTCTCAGCAAGAATTTCTTCAATGCTATAGTAAAAGAAACAGAAACACTATTAATTTTAAAAGGATTAAAATTTAGATACTGCATATAACAAACAATAGCTTCATTGAACTGACGTTTTGGCCCGTGCTTTGATAGTGAAGTCCTCATCTTCACTATCGTCAACCGCTAATTTATTTTTAAGCCTCTCTGCACGTAAACGTTCTTTCCTGGCATGGAGTTTCCTCAGATTACGAATCCTCTTCAACATAATTTGATCACTACCAGGCACTTGTCTTTCAATAGCGTCACAGCCATATCTACGTATCATGCGATCAAGCATGTGTTGGGTTTCTCGACGGAAGTGTTTCTTACAATCATCCGTCATGGTAACAATTGCTTTCATCTAAAAGAACAAAGAAGAAAAAAAGGGGTGGTATTTTAAATAATTCTCAGGGGAAATAAATTAAATTAACATAAAACCACGTGAAACTTACAATGGTAGGAACAAATGGACCCACAGTTGTTGTAGGGAATGAATAAACAACCTGTTTGAGGAAACTTACGGCAGCCCCAGCAACTTCCCGACTAGATGAAGTTGCCAAGACACAAACATTTTGTAACAGTAATTCCAGGAGATCCATAGGGAATTTAGCTGCCAAAAGAATGGTATCATGTATAACAAGTTAATATGAAAAGATCAGATAAGATCAGAGAGAATTCTGAAATGATAAAACAGCTACCTTTGAAATGATGAGTGACATCAGCCAAAGCAAGAAGTGTGCACCTAGTAAGTTGTGCAGTGCCTGCCAGACCAGCTAGGAGCAAAGCCATGAAATCTTTCATTACTTTGTGCTCTTGTTCCACAGTGACAGCATTGTCAGGGCCAACCTCTTCCTCTTGCCACCTAAACATGGTCAATCCTAGTTCATGGAGGAGGGCAAAAGCAGCCTGTCGACAACGTTCATTAATGTCTTTCACACATAGAACAGCTTCAGGGACAATCAGCTTAATAATGTTGAATTTTGAGGCCGGTAATCTTCGTACAAGGTGAATCAAGCAACGTAATCGGGCCTACAAACAGACAAGAGAAAGAAAATGTCAGATCTTGGAAAGGGCACCTCCTACAATTTAAACAAGGGCATTAATCTTAAGTAGCTTAAAGAAGCTGTGATAAACATACACCACGACTGCTAGTGGCTGATGATGATAACGACTGCAACAGAAGCTTCTGAACATCCTGAATATTTTCATTTTGGAAAGAAATACAAGTTTCTGAGGAAGAGGAACACAAAATTTCAAGCAGCCTGCAAATAAATATGGTATTAGCCAAGGGTTTTAGGAACAAACATCAACTGGTGAACAAGTCTGTCAACATACCTGTAAGATTTCTTTTGGAGACGGCTATTCTTAGAATCAGCAATTCCCTCCTTAATAAGACTGTACAATGTTAAAATATTTTCAGAGCTCTGGTAAGGAACAAGAATCCTCAACAGATCCATAACACTTTCTTTGACAAACTTGTCAACAACACCACTTTTCAGCTTCTGGAAAGCTTTAACAAAAAGCTCATTTTGCAAGACTGGATCAGCTATTGACAAGTAAACCTGAAAAAAAAAAACAACAATAAATTATCAACTTAAAAATAAATCACTCTTTAAATAAGGCAGAAAAAACTGAAAAAAATGAACAACCTTGATTGTTTCAAATGCAGAAAGGCGATGGCCCTCCTCTTCAGAGCCATTAGTTTTAGTGGTGTACAGATTGAACAGAATAGGCAAGTAATTTTTGGCAAACCGACCCAGTTCACGCAAATCTTCCTCTTTTTTTGATGATGGTTCGCCCTCTTGACTGTGAATAATCAGCCTCCGAAGTGCAGTCATTACAGAGAGACGCAAGTCTTTGCGGTCAGTAATCAAGGTACCAAGAATTTTGGCAAGACTCTGGACAAAACAAACAAGAGCAATCAATAATAATTAAATGTACAAGAGGAAAACATTACGTTTTAGAAAAATCAAGTTAGTATTCTTCCCTTGGGTAATATTATTTCCTTAAGGCCCGAGGGTAAAATTTACCTTGAAAGAATCCTTAATATCAGTGGCGTGATTGCAGAAGCTGGGTAGCAAAGCCCAAACTTGAGCTTGGAAAAGTTCATACACCACTGACTCTGCTTTCCTTCCTTGAGCTGCAAGATCCTTGGATGTCTTCCTGCAAAATGAAAAGACAAGATACTAAAACAAGCGAAACAAAGAAAATAATTTGGAAGTTTCAGTAATGCAAAGTCACAATGACATACCAACTGACGCCTGCCAATGGAAGGAAGTATTCTACGAAGAAGCTCAATTGTGTATCGCGTATTGATTCTCTGAGAATGGGGAGAAGCCAACTACGCTTAATTTGGCTGTTTACCTCTGCACCAGTAACCTTGCCAATATAAGTTGGACTATATTAGAATTTTCACTTTTTAAGAGTAGAATCAAATATTACCAGACACTATAAAGAAACATACCTGCAGAGGAATAGCTTTCAAGACAGCCTTTGGGCCCATGAATTGAACAGCCTTTCCAAGAGCATGGTCTACTTCATGAACACAAGTGAACTGGTATGAGTCTTGAAGTTCACCCAAAGCTGAAATGCAGGGGATGACTAGGCTTTCACAGGTTGGACCACAATGCTGGAAAACAGAATGGAGAAAACAATTACATATCAAACTATTAAACTATGAAATAAAAAAAAAGAAAGAAGCCCCTTAATGACAAAACTAATGGATTATTTCCCAATTTACCTCAAAGAAGGCAGCTAGAAGGTGAATTACATGTTTCCATGCACTGTGGTATTGATATTTCAAACCATCCTGCAGAACACTAAAGACCTTTGATATGGTTGTGGAATACCGCTCAACAACAGCTGGAGCAGCTGCTTCTTTAAGACAGTCACTAATAACAGCAGAAAGAGCATGTGTTGCATTGCTGAGAATATCTGGCTTGTCCGACAACCAAATTTGAGACACTGTGGTGAAGAGTTTTGGTAAATGAGCACAACACATAGAGAGATCTTGTCTGCAAAGAGAACAGAAAATTAATTACTACACCAGAAGACCATTGACAGATGACAAGTAACAGTGTGCACAATGAGATCCAAGCACAAACTGTAGTATTAAATTGTACCCACTTTCCCAGATTAACGTGGGCCTCTTGCATCACTGCTAGCCATGCGAGAGTTGGCTGCGCATCTGACACAGGAGGTTGATAATCATACAAAGCTGAAATAAGTTGTGCATTGAGAGTTGCAGGCAGGATAACGGCAGATGGTCGAGACACAAAAAGAGAATGAAGTGCCTGCATCCCACAAGAGCTGACCAACACATTGTTCAAGGTCATCACTTTCAAGACGGTCTCTGCAACAGTCTACAACAGCAATGTTTTAGATGAGGATTAGCCCACTCAGAGCCTGAATATGCAGACACAATTTAAGACTTACTTTGAGATGCTGCTTAGGAAAGGTTGAAATAGTTTCTTTGACAAGAACTAGAGTGTGTAGAAGGATAGTCTGCGATGCCGCGGATCCAACAGAATTTTCAAGGGATCTAACACAAAATTTAGCCACATGAGGTGCAGCTGGGTGACTATCACTCTTGGAGGAATCAGTCTCTGACTTCAAAATGACACAAACTGCATGATGTGCTGCTTTACGAATCTACCAAAAACATAAATGAAAAGTCACACCAAGCAGGAACAAAAATACTAATAATAAAAATCAACAACAAAACATGACATGTTAAGTACACATACCTTGGGCTTTGAATGTGTGGTGAAAGCTAGGATGGAATCCAGCACCTGAACAGTGGATGAGTTTTTCCAAACCACTGCTTCTTGACTGCGAAGGAGGACACTCAAGCATCCAATCACCTACAAGCAGAGGCCCTATATTAAATACTTATCAACCAGAAACAGTTTCTAACATGGTGAATCTAATTTGAACTTACGGATCGTAGTATAACATGATTATCAGATTCAGCGAAGCGAATCAAGAGGTCCATGAAAGTTTTAGACGCTTCTGAAAATTTCTTTTTTAGTACATTTTCAGGAACGCTTTTAATGCCCATTCCGAGCAGTGTTAAAACTGCACCCAAAGAGTCCTCAGACTCACTCACACCAAGGCTTGTCATCTAACAACAGAGAAAAACTTTAAAATTTTGAATTTGACATATTTCATTACTTTGAAGGCAAATGCAGGTAACACGGTAATACCAAGGCAGCGAAGTACTCTGTTGATGATTCTGAGCCACCATTACTTTTGATAACCTCTGTGATGGCAGCAAGAACTGCGAGCATTTCTTTGTGCAATGCTGAGTTTGAAGTGAATTGATTCAAAAACCTAAAGGAGCAAAAGTTCACAAAAATTAACAAAAAAAAAAAGCAATGGAATCAAGTAAAAATTAACTAAAAACAGAGCGAATATTACTTAGAAAAGGAAACGTTAGAACAGGAGCTCCAATCGCTTGCAAAAGTTTGGAAGGTCTTAAAAGACTTTCCTGATGCTGAGTAAGCCGTCTCACTTTCTTCCCCATCCACCTCCAAAGGTTCGGGCTTTGTTCCCATGAAGGCGTCATGTTTGCGCAGGGCATCAGAAGTCAATTTGCTCTCAGTCGCTGCAAAATAGAGTAGATCCATTGAATCAGACAGCTAGTCTAACACGTCACACAATGCGTAATTTTGATGTCATGGAAAACTGATGAACCAGACCAGTTCAGGAGAAGTAGAATTAAGGTTCATGTGACAAAGATTTGTAGAAGTAACAGTAATAATCAGTTATAATGACCAGTCCACGTTACGCGGTAAGGTTAGGTTTTCGGCTTACCTAAATTTTCCTGGAAGAATCTTGACCGAGCAGCATCACGAAACTTCTTTGATTCTGGGTTTGAGATAGAACTCTGGCCTTTCAACCATCGTTTTCCCTTCCCTTTAACCCGTGTTCTAATTTTCGTCATCTTCAATGCAGTGTGATCACCAAGCAACAAACAGCGAGCATGTGCCGTGCCGTGTCGTGTCGACTGTTGTTTTTGATGTTTGGGCTTGTTGTTGTTTGTTGTTACGAGTTGAGCTTTGCCCAAAGGCTGTGATTCAAGATCAAATTTCAAATTCGCGCGCGGGAGAGTCGTCGTAAAGCCACAGGTGTTGTGTTCAACGATTTTGGATTGTGCAGGTAAGTGAAACGACGAAAGCAGCATGCTCGAAAGGGGCATGTCCTAGACACATGTTGAGGAGTGACAAGGTGCATCGGTGCATCGTGTTCCAGGTTGTCTCCGGTTTCCGCGTTGCACGCTTTGCACGCCGAGGGTGCCGAGGGCCGAGGCCTAAAACTCCTGGAATAAATTGACTTGACAACTTTTCAAGACATGCCCCTGCTCTAAGAAGTTTGGGTATAAATCTGTTGCTAGTACTGCCTCACCACTTATGTAATTTGTAGTCCCATATTTTATCGAGACTGTCCAATTTCTCTGCTTTTTCTTCTAATTTTTAAGCATTTATTTTTTTTAAACTTTGTGTGAAATATATTTTACTAGTGTAATGACAAAATTCTTGTCATTCTCGTTAACCTGACTACAAATTGCGTTTCAAACTTCCTGTTTTCTTTTTCCTTCTCTCTTCCAATTCTGTCCACTAGTTGAGATGCCGAGACGCCGCGGGAAGGGCCGTCGGCGGGAACTCTCCCCGCTCGGACACGGTGACGGGGAAGCCGCCGTCCAGGCTGAGGATGACGCCGATCTCGACGGGCAGGTCGGCCACGGTGCGGGTGTCGCCCGGCGCGCGGTGCACCTCGTAGCGCCGCAGCACCGTGCTCAGCACCGTCTTGAGGTACATGATGGCGTAGCGCTGGCCGATGCACGACCGCGGGCCCGCGCTGAAGGCCGCGAAGCTGAGCGGGGGCCGGCCGCGGACTTGGTCCGGCAGGAACCTGCGGCGGGCAGCCAATCGGTTAGGGGTGATTAGCGAATTCATCGGCAATGCTGTCAGCACAGGCACAGGCCTTCCGCACCTGTCGGGGTCGAAGCGCAGCGGGTCCGGGAACCAGGCGGGGTCGCGTTGCGTGTGGAAGCTGAACATGAAGAGCTGGGCGCCACGCGGCACGCGCGGCCCCGACGGCAGCACCGTGTCCTCCACGCAGTCCCGGCCGAAGACGGGCACGAGCGGGAACAGGCGCAGCGTCTCCAGGATGACGCGCTCCATGCGCTGCAGGTGCGGCAGCTCGTGCTCCGTGACGGCGCGCTGCGGGTCCGCGCCGAACACGTCGTCCAGCTCCTGAAATAGGTAAGTGAGTAACAGGCAGTGGAACAGGCGGCGCCAGTTGGAACCCGCCCTGTGACATACTTGCTGCAGCCGGCGCTGCTCCTCCGGGTGCATGGCGAGCAGGAGGAGGGCGAAGCTGAGGCAGTGCGCCACGGTGCCCTGGCCGGCCACCACCATGGCCTTGGCCTCCTCGCGCCACTCCCTGGCCGTCAGCAGGTCGGCCAGCCCCTGCGTGGCCAGCGCGTGCTCCAGCAGCGACCGGGGGCGGCAGGCGCCTTTGGCACCGGGCTGCTCCTGCGCAACGACGCCCTGATCGTGCACCTCGGGCGTCGCGTCGGGCCTCACCGAGTGCTGCCGCCACTTGCTGACGATGTGGTCGATGAAGGTGTCCGTGTCGGCCTCCATGCGCGCCGCCTCCCTGCCCGCCGACGTCCTGGCGTACAGCGAGTCCCACAGCAGCCAGGGGTGGCAGACGCGGTACGTCACCATGCGGGCCGCGTTGGTCGTCTGCTCCACGAAGCGGCCCAGCGCGGCGGCGTCGGAGGACAGGTCGGCCGACAGCATCGTCTCGCACACCGAGTCCATCGACACCATGTTGCAGTACTCCAGGATGTCCACCGGCTGCGCCGACCGCGCCGCTCGAGTCATCATGTGCGAGAGTTCGATTGCCTTGCGCCGGAACACCTGCCGCCGGGGAGGGGCTACAGAGTCACGAGCCGACAAAGAGGAGCAGCGACGTCGCGAGGCAGCCACTCACCTCCACGTTCTGGACGAGCACGTGCTGGTGCAGGGACGGCCCGATGGCCCGGCGGTGGCGCCGCCACACCTTGCCGCTGAGGGTGATGAGGCCGGTGCCCAGGGCCACCCGGGCCAGCGGGTACCACGTGGACTTGTCGTTGAAGCGCGCGCTGTTCATGACGTGCTCGTAGTCGCGCGGGTCCGTGATGACGACGAAGGGCCAGGGCCCCAGCCAGAAGCAGAAGGTGGGCGCGTGGCGCTGCATCAGCCCCACCACGGTGGCCCAGAACTTGTCCTGCGAGGTGAACAGCTCGAGCAGGTTGCCCAGCAGGGGCAGCGGCTTGGGGCCCGGCATGCCCGCCAGCACGGCCTGCCGAACAAGACCGTCCTCGTCATCGCGTCGACGGCGTCCCTCTGCGCGTAACGCCCTCCGGACCGCTGTGGCTCACCTGCATGCGCCAGGCGTCCCGCGTCGTGTCCACCAGCCAGGCGACGAGCGCGGCCAGGGCCAGCGCCAGGGCGCCCGCCACGACGAGGCCCAGCATGGCTAGCTTGGCGAGGGCCGGGTCACTTCGCTGCACTCACTGCACTGCTGCACCCGACTCAGCTCGAGGCTTCGCCTGGCTTGGCCTGCAGCACTGCAGCAAGCGCCCCGCGCCACTGAGGCTCGAGTCGGCGAGGCAGCGCGCAACACCGGAAAGAATGAATTTAGGCACCTGTCGCAGCCATGGCGATGGAGCCGCCGAGCGCGGAGCAGCCGAGCAGCCGGGGAGCAAATCAACACGTTTTTTCGCGTCAAACGGTAAGTAGCGGTTCGATGCAACAACTTTCTCAGTCACGGCGCGCTTCGAGCCTCTAGCCCCTCCTCTGTCTCTTTGACGTCACCGAGAGCTCGCCGGAGGAAGCTGACGCCGAACAGTGCTTTCATCGCGCTGTCTCTGTTGCACTCGAGGGCATCCCGTAGGGGTGCAAGAGAGACAGAGCGACGAAAGCTCGGTGCGGAGTCAATGTGTTGATGCACGACAAGCCTCGATAACCTGAGTTGTGGCGATCCAAAGTCCGTGTTCCGGAGAAAAGGAACGCCTGCGGAGTAGGCAAACCCAACAGTTGGCGAACGCCGGAGTGCACCGGGTTGCCTATCCCGTGGTTTGCAGGGGCTCTGGTCGGAGGTAACGGCAGAATGCTTCCACATTGCCTGTTTTTGTATCATTTATTTATTGTTTCCAAATGAGCGTCGGACTCGGCACTCCTCGTCGTTGCGGTCTCGCGCCGGCGGGACACTGTGACGGGGAAGCCGCCGTCCAGGCTGAGGATGACGCCGATCTCGACGGGCAGGTCGGCCACGGTGCGGGTGTCGCCCGGCGCGCGGTGCACCTCGTAGCGCCGCAGCACCGTGCTCAGCACCGTCTTGAGGTACATGATGGCGTAGCGCTGGCCGATGCACGACCGCGGGCCCGCGCTGAAGGCCGCGAAGCTGAGCGGGGGCCGGCCGCGGACTTGGTCCGGCAGGAACCTGCGGCGGAGAGTTTATAGATTCGCAAACTGAGTAAGAGTCGACTTTTCGCCAGGAAGTAGTCCGAACGGACCTGTCGGGGTCGAAGCGCAGCGGGTCGGGGTACCAGGCGGGGTCGCGGTGCATGTGGAAGTTGCAGAAGAGCAGGTGGCTGCCGCGCGGCGCGGTCAGGCCGGACGGCAGCGCCGTGTCCTCGGCGACGTGGCGGAGGAACACGGCCACCAGCGGGAACAGGCGCAGCGTCTCCAGGACGACGCGCTCCAGCAGCTCCAGGTGCGGCAGGTCGTGCTCCGTGACGCCGCGGCCGGGGTCCTCGCCGAACACGTCCTGCAGCTCCTGCCGAAGAACGGAGCGCTGAGCACATCGTTTGACGCAGCCCTCCTTCGCCGGCGCGCACCTTACCTGCTGCACGGCCTGCTGCACGTCGGGGTGCATGGCCAGCATGAGGAGCGTGAAGCTGAGCGCGTTGGCGACCGTGCCCTCGCCGGCGATGACCATGGCCTTGGCCTCCTCGCGGAGCTCCTCGTCGGACAGCAGGGACGCCGCGGCCGAGTCCGCCAGGACGTGCTGCAGGAAGGACCGCTGCCTGTCGGCGTGCCCCTCGTCCCGCCGCTCGGCCCTCTTGCGTCTGATGACCTCGTCCACGAAGCGGTCCGTGAGCGCCTCGATGCGCCGCGCCTCGCGCTCCTCCGCGGTCAGGGCGTACACCAGGTCCAAGAGGAGCCAGGGCCTGCACACGCGGCGCGCCACCAGGGCGCACGAGTCGTTCTTGGCGTCCACGAAGCTCTTGAGGGCGTCGCGGTCGTCGGACAAGTCCGCCGAGAGGATGGTCTCGCACACGGCGTCCATGGACACCAGGTCGCAGAAGCCCTTGATGTCCAGCGGGGCGCCGGTGGCGGCGGCGGGCCCCAGCAGCTCGTCGGACACATCCCGCGCCTTGCGGTGGAAGACCTGGCGGACAACGGGGGCTGGTGCACTGAGTGTGAAACATGCCGTGGCCGTCTCGTGAGGGGCTCCATGGGCGGTGCCGCCAGTACCTGCACGTTCTGCGCGAGCACCCGCTGGTGCAGGGACGGCGCCACGGCCTTGCGGTGTCGGCGCCACGGCTCGCCGCTCAGCACGATGAGCCCCCTGCCCAGGGCCGCGCGCAGCATCGGGTACCACGAGGACTTGTCGTTGAACCTGCGGCTGGTGAGCACCGCCTCGTAGTCCAGGGGGTGCGCGGTGACGACGAAGCAGGCGGGGCCGCACCAGAAGGCGAACGAGGGCGCGTGGCGCCGCACCAAGGCCATCATGGCGGGGAAGAAGCGGCGTGGCGCCACCAGCAGCTCCAGGACGTTGCCGACGACGGGCCGCGCGCGGGGGCCCGGCGCGTCCCCCAGCACCCTCTGCGAGAAGCTGGGCGTCAGCAAGCAGTCCCCGGTGCCTACGGCCTCCTCCCAGAATTGGACGCACCTGCATGCGCCGCACGTTGGCGACGGCGGCGACGAGGCGGGCCACGACGTAGGCCGCGCAGCCGGCCAGCACCGCCCAGGCGGTCCAGGCCAGCTTCATGGTGGCCGAGGACTTGGCGAGACGCGGGGCCGTGCACCAGCAGACCAGCACTGAGTGGAAGGCAGGGCCCAAGGGAAGTCCCAAAGGGAAGCCTGCCAAATAGAGCACCGGAGGGGGAGCCCTTTCCTCACAAAGCAACGCCGAGGACCCAAGGACCCCTGCGGCTGCTCCTATAGAAACGGGAACGGACTTTTTTTTGCCCCGGCGGCTAGTGCAATGGGTTAAGTAACTGCATCGTCTTCTTCGTCTCCCCGCGGCACCGCGAGCCGAGGCGAGGCGATGGCAATCGGAAGGACGGCTGCCTCGGTGCTCTCCGTGGCGCTGGAGCGCGCCGCGCCGGTAGGCCGCCCAACGGCCAGCACGGCGAGGGGGCCTGCCTGCGGCACGGCGTGGGCTCCCTAGTCGGCCGCGCGCCGCAGCCTCATTCCGCAGTGCCTCTCTCTCGCACTCATGGGGCCTCCCGCACAGGTGCGAGTGAGAGAGACCGAGCCATGAAGCAGTCCGCCGTGTGGCCGTGCTTGCTCCATGGCGGCATGGCGGGGGAACCCCCAGCCGGATCCACGCGATACCGGGTGACAGAGACCAGGAGACAACCGGGCATTTGCCCCACTTGTCGACCGGACCTCTCACTTCTCACTCCCGGCAGGCTAGCCTTCATTAGTGCCCTCTGGAAGTCTGGAGGTCGAGTCGTTCTGCCAGGGCACGGCCAGGGCCTCGAACGCCGCGGCCAAGCCGGCCCAAGGTCGCGGGTAGGCCACTGGCACTGGGCCAGGACGCTCTATGTTTACTTCTGGGCGTGGAAAGACCCTTCGATTCTGTCCTGGCACTGCCTAGCTTCCAGGCGGCGCGGCCTGGAGAGGCCGTGGGAAGGGGACCGCGTCGACCTGGACGCGTGTGAGTCACGCCGCCGCACGCATCCAGCTGGATGGAGCAATTATGAGATTCCAAGACGCACGCGCACTGCCTCCAGGACTTTTCCCCTGCCGATGGTCTGGGGTGCCAGGATAGGGTTATTCGCCTCATATTTTTCCGAAGTTACCCCTTTGACTCGCGGAAATGTCCACCCCGAGAGTGTTGCCCTGGCCGTTGCCCGTCCGTCCGGCCTGGCGGCCTGACGGGGTCGGGGCCCACCTGGGGCTGGGGCGGGCTGGGGCCGGCCAGGACGGCCAGGGGGGAGAAGGAGGCGGGGCACGAGATCCGGGGGCCGTGCCGGGCCGTGCGTCTCGGCGGGGCGGACGGGGCTGGCAGCCAGACAAACGAGCAGGCAGCCAGGGCAGGCAGCAGCCAGGCAGAGGCTGCACAGTCCGCCAGAGTCGCATGGACTGCCGTGCAGGGCGCAGCTAGCGCAGCTCGACGCCAACACCACCCGCGTCAACGGCCACCGAGTCGCGGCCGAGTGGACCCAGTGTCGCGAATCGGTCCCAGTGCAGCCAAATGCAGGCGTGATGGCGAGCCCATCGCACGCGGCAGTGACAGAGACCCAGTGTGTGTGAGTGTGTCTGTGCGACCAATAAGTGCCCACCGGCGACGGGAAGACTGGGAGCAGTCCAGGATACTGCTGCGGCTCAGCGGCATGGATAACAGGTTGGTGCCGCTCTAGACGTGCCAGCGCGTTCGGACGGCCTAGACGGCTGCAGCGCGCTCGGAGAGAGGTTCAAAGGATGTGCTCGTAAACAACAAAGAGGAGTTATTTTTGGAACGAGGCTCTATGTTCTCCGCGGCCCGGCGCGACGTCCAAGTGTGCAGTTCTTGGGTGCAGTGGCAGGGCTGCCCGCCCGGCAGGTGGGCCACCGGCGTTCGCCGGAGTGCGCGGGGTGCCTACCCACAGGGGCCCGCCCTCCGGCTCCAGCATCCTGCTTGTTTTCTGCACGTCTTCTCGTCGAGTGCGAATTGCCGCAAGACCAGGCACGCGTTGCGACGCGTTGCGTGGCGCCAGCGCCCATGATTACTGAGGCATCGCCGGCCGAATGGGCCGAATCGTCCAGCGTCATCAGGCGGCAGTCACGGACGCCTTCCCTCCGGCAGGCCGGCAGTCAGGCCGGCAGGCAGTCCGGCATGAGGAACACAACAACCAACGCCCCGCCGAGCTGCCGAAGCTATTGGCCTTCGGCCGCTTCCGGCTCCATTTGGCAGTCATCGCGTCGCAGTTCTATTACGCCTTTTTAGCTGGCGCCCAAATTTTGCGATGTGCGGATGGTGGTCCCCGCTTAGCACGGCGGGGCGGCGGGATGGCCAACCTGGCCGGGTCCGGACTCGTCTCCCGCGCCTCCCGCCCTGCCGAGGCTCCAGATATTGCGGCAACCGAAAAAAATTATGATTGACAAACGGGCCGAACGGTCGGTGGTGGTCGGTAGACGGTAGGGTGCGGGCTGGTGCTGGCCCGCCACTATCGCAACATGGGTCGGGTCGCGCTGCTCGTAGACCATCCGGCCGGGCGTGACTATGACAGTTGGTGCCCACTGGGCTCTTTCAACCATTCTTCGTTTCTTTCATTTCGGTTCATTTCTCGGCTAGCTCCGCCAATCACGTTCTTGCTTGCTGCCATTCGAATCACCCAATTCAATTCTCTTTTTTCTTTTTTTTTTCGCGTGACGCGGAACAATTGAACTTCCTTTTTTTTTGGTGGGACCGATAAGTGTGTCGCCGAAACACAATACGTGTCCCAGTCCAAACTCCAAAGCATTCCACGCACGACGCCTCCGTCTCGGTCCGGCATCTCGGCTGTGCCGCGAGTTCAAACACTGCGCGGGCCGAGTTTGTTTGTTTCGTGTTGTTTTCGTTTGAACCTGTGCGTCATGGCCGGTTCCCAAATTAATTGCCGTCGGTCGACTGACTCACGCCGCACTCCATTTTTCCATTCACTTTTTCCATGCTTGCCCGCATTATTTTGAGGGTATACCCGAGTTGAGTTGGCCAAAATTGTAGGCACAGCCGACTGGATTGCTGGTCATCGTGGGGAATTTACCTAGGTACACCCACGTGCAGTACGAGGCGACGTGCTGCCACTGCTGCTGCGTCGTCGCGTTGGATCCACCAAAAGTGTGATGCCGAGCCTCCAGGAACTTTGATCGCCTGGCTTATTTTCATTATTACAAGTTACGGGAGCGAAAGAATTCCACTGTCACGGGTATTATTTAGCGGGGCGAGAACTCTGTTTTGGGCGCCCGGTGGCGTGCAAAGAGCATAGCACACTGGTAGCATCTAGTAGCATTCTGCGGTCGGGACTGCAGATACTTGCGAAAAACATAGGCACCGGACGATAAATTAGCTGTCGCAGCCGGCAGCTTTTGTCGGCCGCGGCTCGACACGGCCCGGCGCGGCCCGGTGTGTGCCCTCAGGAGGAAGAGCAGGCCTTTAAGCTCAAGGTGAAAAAGCGTTTGCCCAATAATGCTGGCTTGGGCGCGGCGGCGGCTCGGTGGCGCGGCCGGCCTGTTCCGCCTCGTCCAGCGGCCACCAGCGGGATGAGAGGAGGAAAGCCTGTTGCACAACGTTTCCACACACACACACGCACTCAGATTCTGGGCGGCGGCGCACCCAGCAGGGCATCAGTATGCCTTTGTGCATCATGAGATTCATGAGTGGACCGGATGGACCTTATTGTGGCACCAGAGTGGGGGCGCACACTGTGCAGACGTCCTTGCGAGTGGCCGCGCACGCAGGATCTGGAGAGACGCCGGCTGTAAACGGAGTCAAGTCGTCGGACCACAAGTCAAGCCGCGACTGGGGCTTTGCTGGTGTCCATCTCACCGCCATGTTGACATCTTGCCAGTTGTCGGCCCATCCCCGCCGTGCGAAAAAAAACAAACTGTTGTAGCGCCACAAGGGCTCTTTACGCGTGGCTCGCATGCGGCGCGTCATTTGGCAGGCGGCCGTAAAACCGTGAAAACAAGCCGCGGCTCTTCAATCACTCAGCGGCGAGGCGATGGCGATGGCGGCGCCGCGCGTGAAGCGCCGATGTGCCGGCACTGCCACGGCACTGCCACGGCACTGCCGGCGAAATGACAGGCTACTCAGAAAATGATTAGCGAAGGTCTCTGCAGCTGTCAAGGCCAGGCCGAGACACGGCGCGGCCAGCAGTGTGGCGGTCCCACGCACGGCCCGGCCGCGCGCCTCGTTTGCAGGGCAGCAAACCTTAAGGAGTTCGACTCCGGGGAGTGTGACTCGAGTTCCCGCCGTGCCGTCTTTATCAGAAGGACATCTTTGCTGTCCGGCAGATCTGCAGAGCCCCCTTCTCTCGAGGTGACTTGAACGCATGGCGCGCTGCGGTCGCCCGTTGCAGCTTGCTAGGTTAGGTTCGGTGGGAACTCAAATGGGACTCAAACTTAAGTGTGACCCCATCAATGGATTCCTCGTTCGGAGAGCAATCCATTGGTGGGGTCACACGGCGGGGTCACAAGTCCCATTTAGCAACTCTGGAGCTCAAAACGCGTCTAGAATTTTGACCGCCGCTACCGGTCTAATAGGCCACTGTGAAGCGTGTCCGGAGTAACGAGGCCCTCGGCACACTCGGATCATCGGCGCCGCCTTGCTCCGCGTGCGCCGTGTCATGGCTAGGCTGCACAGTGTGCAGCACACGCCGAGCCGCGCCGGGCATGTGTGTCAAAGCGGTGGCGGCCCGCAGCCCGCGCAGCCAATCAGCGCGTTCCTTCCGAGAAAGGCCGTTTACCGCGAGAATGGACACCGCGTCCTGCCAGCTCGCACCCCACCTGTACACTGCTCTTAGCGATTCGGCAGTGACGTCATCATGGACGACGGTTCCCTTTTGCTACTACACCGAAAGAGGGGAGCTTTTGATTCAAGGGTGTTGGACCGTAATTTGCGAATGCTGTCGTTGTGATGGGCTCGACTAAACCGTGGGGTTCTTTGTTCGTTCCGAGTCTAATCGACTTTTTAATTCTTTGACTAATATTAGAACGATTCAAACGGCGCGGCGGCGTGCGTTTCGTTCATGACTTGGTTGATTGACTATTGTGCGCCAGCCACAGCTAGCCACAGCGTGGGGTCGAAAGGGGCTCCGAGAGGCTCGTCCTGATCACTGTTCCGCTGCTCGATTCGCGGCGCACAAAGCGCGCACGCGGGGCGCACGTCAAGGCCTCGGCGCCCTGGCAGTGCGTGCGGTGCTGTCTGTGCGCCTCGATTTGGGCCTTTAAATTCCGCCTGCTTTCGCGCTGCCGGCGCACTGCCTAGCGTGTGGGGCCGACCGCGCTTTCGGGGACGAACGCCAAGTGATCGACCCTGAACTGCTCGGAGTGCGCGTGAGTGTGTTCGCAGACGAATAAAGAAAACAAAGACGCTTTGCGCTAAAGCAACATTTTTCGGTGGCACTGCTTCCAAACGGGCGTTACCAATCACATCGGGCAAAAGACCACCCGCAAGCGCTTGGACGCAGCAGTCACCCAAAATCGTTCGCATCGATCGGCTCGAGAAAACTTGCGATTAGTTCGGATCGATCTGCACTTGAACGCGCCCTGTTGGCCTACTGCGGGGCGGCGCGGGTCCTTGTCGTCGCTCGCAGCGCGGCTCGCGTGCCGCCGGCCCACCGGCCGCCCGGTCGATTCTGGTCAGAGTGGGGTTTCTCGTTTCTCATCGGGCACGGCGCCGCGCCGCAGACAGAGTGTTACAAATGGCGAGGCCCTGCCCAGTGCCGCCCGGCCGGCCGGCGTGACGCCTCCAGGGCTTGGCCGCAGGGCTTTGCTCCAGGGCTGACCTTGTACGCTGCAGCCCTGCCGGCCCTGCCCGCCCCCCACCTCCAGCCTCCAGGACGGGGCTTTTCTCCGGCGTGACGTAACGCTGTGTCCACGTGGGGCCGTGGGGCGTGGGACTCGGGGGGCGTGGTGGCGGCCCGGCGGGCCCGGCGTCCAGCGCGTCGTCTCCTCTCGGCGGCCTCCCAGTGGGCCTCCTCGTCCAAGTTCCGCAACGTATTTGTGGCACTTCTCCGGATCACCTGCGCCTCGTCAAAGTTAGTCTGCAGTATTGGCGGGCTAGTGCTAACCCGTCCAACCGCCAGAATCCACTGTGCACACCATGCCGTTGTCGACTGTGTCCCGGTCGCGGGCGTCGCCTACCGACGGGCGTTCGCCGAAGTACTCGCATGAGCCTGCTTGCTTTCCGCCCTGCCGGAGGAGCCCGTCGTCCTTGCACTCAATGCGTGAAGTCTGACTGCTTGTCTTGCTTGTCTTGCCGCTCGTACCAAGACCAGGATCCGTCTGATGCCAGCCGTCCGGGCTGTTCGGGCGCGGGCCCCGGGCCGGCGGCGGGCGGGCTGGACGGCTGGCCCATCTAACTCGCGTCGCTGGCGGCCAGCCAGGCAGCCAGCCAGGCCGCCGGAGTCTGTTCCGTTAAGTGTTACCGCACTACCGACGCCCAGACACGCCGCCTTACCCGCCGCCTTGACAGTGCTCTTCATGGCCGCGGTGACGGCGGTGCCGGCGGTGCGTCGCCCCGGCGCAAAACAGGTTCGACCGAGCCCGGGCCGTGCCGCCGTGCCCCAGCAGGCTCGCTCTCCGAACAGCGTGTCGTCGCTCTGTCTCTCTCGCACCCAGGCGGGACGCCCCATGAGTGCGAGAGAGACAGACAGCGGCCAAGGCGAAAGCACTGTTCGGAACGAGCCTGCGAGACCGCCTCGCTGCAGCATGAGGCTGCAGGAGTGCGCTGACACCGCGCGAAGTCCCGCGAGGCCCACTGCCAAGCCTGCCAAGCCAAGCCTGCCGCCAACCAGAGAGGTCCAAACAAACAAGGCGCGCCGCGAGTTGCGAAAAAGTTTCCACTTCTTTGATCACGCTCTCAGGACCTGTCAATAAGCGTGCACTACTGCCCGGGGTCACAACAACGGGACGTGCAGCGTGAGAGTCGTTTGCAAATCCACGCCATGTCCCATTCGGGGAATGTGATGCCAAGCTAAGACAAGACCTTTTTTTGGTCCTCGCCGTTGGCTACTATGGCTGTAATAAGGAAACTGATGCCGGCGGTGTGTTCGGGCAACGTCACCTTTTACTTCTTTGCATCGCCCGACTCGGTAGTCGCTCCGCACCAAATGGAAAGCTTTGTCGGAAGAGCGATACTTCTATTCTGGTCCGCCTAACAGACGCTTTCCCGCTCTTGGACCATTACGATCGGAAATTACAGGTGCGAGGTTGGTTCGCGTCGCCGGCAGCGGGAGGCAGCGGCAGCCAGCCGCGCGGCGTGGTGGTGTGGCGGGCGGGTTGCCAACCCTGCCAAGGGCACCAGCAGCACCAGCCGCGGCTGTTGACTCTACTATTGTCGCGGGGAATCTCTAGGAAGTAAACAGCACACGCGCGCGTTGCCGCTCCTCTCGAGGCAACCCTACCTCACTTCTCCGAGGAGTCAAACTAAAGCGAGTCTATCAGAACGCACTTAAATTCATTAATGCTAAACAATTTTTCTAGGTTTAGGTACCTCTGGGTGTAACTGACACGGGCAAGGTGGGGGTGTGACACCGCCGCGCACGCGCCGCGCCCACGCCCTGTCCGTCCGTCGCGCGGAGCGGCGTAGAGTCAAGGCGGTGAGAACGGTGACCGCCACCTTTACGCCACAATGTCACGATTATTGCAACGTTGTCGCAATTGCCGCCTTGTAGGAATCGCGAAACGTGAGTGTCACCCGCGCGTGCAGACTAGTGGCATTTTTTTTCTGCGAGGTGCGGACGAACTAATGCGTTTTCACGAAGCACACACCTTTGGAGGAAGGTATTTTCGGCAAGATTTTGACGGCAGGATAGGTGGCTGTGTGACGTCTCAAGGCGGTGTTTTTGTACGCTTGCCGGGCTGACTGTTGCGACGCCGCGCAGTCCCTTCCTGTTCATTCGCTCGCCTTGAACCTCAAGCACCCAATTCAAGACACTACGCTGTACCATTTTTTTTTTCGAGTTGCTACCTATTTTCTGACAGCGATAAACATCCTGGCGTTCTGTCGCAGTAGTATCAAGATGAAGACGAAAAAATAAGAGCTCCAGCGCTGTGTCGCTCTGCCCTACGACACGATCGCGGTGCGAGAGAGAGGGAGAGAGACCGCGCGTGCCCCGACCCAGCCTGGCCGTCGCGGACGGAGCACGGAGTGGGCGGTGTTGTCGCGGGCATTGTCGCTGGATTCCCAGCGCGGTCCGTTTGCCGTTTGCTCATTGCCGGCATTGCCCCACTTGCGAGGGACGTTCAGTTTCGAAATTGAGGCAAGGCACCCGCAGAGGTTGGGCCGCTGTCTCTCTGCAGACTGATTCCGAGAGTCTTATTCGACGCAGGACGACGACGACCGGGGGGTTCGCCTGAAAAGTGCATCGCGTCGCGCGCGCGGAGTAGTGAGCAGTGCGTCCGGCGTAAAAGGGGGTAATTCTCGGCGGTCTTCATCGGCGCGGTGCTCGGCCAGCCCGTTTGTGGTCAGTGGCCATGCCCCGGCCCCCGGCCGCCGCAGCACGGCGCGTCGCGGTGGAGCGCCGAGTCCGGCCGGTCCGGCGTGCCCGTCATCGCGGTGATGCCTGCTCAATGAATCGGCCTTTATCGACTTGGGCACCGCCACGCCCCGCCACGCCCCACCTGCGCGCCAAACTGGAGCTGCTTTCACATTCCGTCATGCGTCCGCGAGGTCACCAACAAGTCCCTCCTTTTTTCGATACATCATCGATGTGGTAAATGAAAACGAAAACCCCCCGCGAAGGTGTGCGCGGAAAAGGCAGCAGCGTGGGAAACGAAGGACAGACGCAGTGCCCCGTCGCTCCTTCTCTCTCGCACCCTTGCGGCCTGCCGGGCACTGCTCGGGTGCGAGGGAGACAGAGCGACGAAAGTGCGGCCTGCACGCTGCACGCACACGCCGGCTGCAGGTGACCCTTGCGGGCGCTTGCAGCACCACGCCACCTCCTCCAGCTACAGGAGGCTGATTCCGAGAGTCGTTTTAGTCTCCGCGTCTCCCTCGCACTCATGCGGCGTCCCGTGTAGGTGCGAGAGGGACAGAGCGACGATTCTCAGCCCGCGGAAAAAACAGTCCGTGCCGGATGTCCCACTCAAGACGCAGCACTGCTGTTGTTTTTGTTTCAGCTTGATTGTTTTTCCTTTCGCTACGACGCGGCCCCCTTATTAATGATTTTTTTTTTCGCGTGTACTTGTTCTCCATCAATGGGGTGGCCGTGGCCCGGCCCAGCCCGGCCAGCCCGGCCCCTCGCCTCACGCCCCACGGCCCGCCACGGCCCGCCAAAGCGACATGAGTAAAAGGCTGCAGTCTTAGTCTTACCCAACCCGTTGCCGTTGTTGCCCCCACCGCCGCCATCCTCGCCACGGTGCACCGACGCGCCGCCACCCGATGCATCGCAGAACCCCACTAGGCCAGGAATTATTCACGCCCCAAGGGTCACAGGCGTGCAGGCTGTGCAGGCTGCACCTGTCTCTCTCGCACTCGCGGGGCATCCCGGTGCTGGAACACCGCCCACCGCAGCGGGCCGTAGGGTAGCCGTCGGCCAGCCCCGCCGTCACTACACTCTCGGGTGCCATTCCTGCAGTGTTAGCGCCCGTTTGGGTTTAGCTTTCGGGTTTCGTCGGCCACCCTGTACGTGCCGCGTGCCTTGCACGGAGTCATGCTCGGCCCCCCGGTTCCGTCCAGGTGCTCCAGGCACTCGGCCGGCTCGGCGCGGCTCGTCCCTCGGGGTCTTGGCTGTCCTGCCTCGCCAGCTCGCCAGTCAGTCCAGTTTCCTTCCAGAGGCCGGCCGGAGGGGGCGGGGGGCGGGGGAGGCGGCGGGGATCTTTCTGCCGGACATCGCCCGACCCTGCCGCGCCGCGCCGCCACTCCCCGCCGCCCCGCCACGCCACGCCCTGCCGGTCGAGCCCGGTCCTTTCGCAAGACATGATCCGCGGCCTCATGTGCAACGTGGAAGGGAGGGGGTATTGTTCGCGGAGCTGAAAATGGGCGGAGGCGCTCCCCAGCCGCGAGAAGACGCGCAGGGAGGGAGAGAGAGAGGGAGTTGAGTATGAGGGAAGAGACAGACGCAGAGGCTGTGCGTATGGAACGGTCGCGTGCCTCTCGCCGTCGGGGGCCCGGCCAATCGGAAGCAGCAAGCATCCACATTCGGCACTACACTAGTAGTCCGAGCACGGAGCGGAATGGTCCGAGGTCCGTGCTAATCGCGGAAACGCGCGGGAGGCTGCTTACGCCAACCAACTGCAGTACAAAGCGACACTTGTCGCTAGGGACTCGCAGTGGCGCATCCTGGCATGCACGGCATGCCGGCCGCGGAGTGACGCAAACCAATCGGCAAAAACAAATCGTCCAGCGCGGGCTTTACCCGCCGCCTCGCGGAAAGCTTCGCGCAGTCCTGCCGTTCTGCGGTCTCGCTCGGACTTTGGCTCGGCGCGGCGCGGCGGGGCCGTCGCGGTGTTTGGCGAGCAGGACCGGGGCCGCGCCGCGCTCTTCGGCTGCACCGTGTGCGTTGCCGCCTCGTTCTGCGTTTCTGCGTTCTTCGGTCGCGGCCGCCTCGCCGCCGCGCTGTTGGCTCTGCTAATTGACCTTCCCTCGCGGCGTGAACGCCGTGCTCATGCGAGATGCAAGCATGACGCACTTGTCCACAATGGCCGCGGTGCACCGCGGTGACGACACACTGCGTGGGCCGTTCATTAACGGAGTCTAATTGTTGTTGTTGTTTGCAGCAGGCGCCCGGAGGACATCGAGATGGAGGGCCGGCCGTGCGCCGGCTACAGCAATGGCGGCTACCGCGCGGACGACCTGGAGAGGATCCGCGAGGAGCTCAACACCGCCCTGCGCACCGCCCCCGAGCCGGCCGCCCCCGTCGCACCCCCCGCCCCCGCCGCCCCCCGCGGCCCGCGCGTCGCCGCCATCTGCATCAGGAACGCCAAGAAGAGCTACCCGCTGGGCTCCGGGGTGGTCCTGGACGGCTTCAACATGACGGTCGCCGAGGGCAGCATGTAAGTGCAGCGGTGCAGCGGTGCAGCGAGGAACCGAGACACGGACTTGGTCGCGTCCTTTCACCGCGCTGCCGACGAGCGTCACAGTGGTCGCAGGCGGCCGGCCGCCGGTCTGTCCGCCAAATCGACGTGGGAAACGTGCTGCGAGGCACGCCACTGTCTGCCCGGGCGGGGCGGCGGGGCGGCGGGGGCGGGTGGGGGACGGGCCGCGGGCCGTCGGGTGGGAGGGTTACTTATCCACTCATCCACGGGTATCATCGGCGCTGAGGCGCACAAACCATGGCAGCGCCCCCCGACATCGCGCAACCTCTTGCACCACGGAGTGTACTCTGCACTCGCCGACGCACACTGTGTGAAGGGATCAGTGTGCGTGATGATGCAAACATGTTGATGCTTCGAATTACGGGGTGCCGATACGAACGGCAAACACCAAACGCGTACACTTTACACGCGCGCGGGCACTACCAGCACAACGAGAGCGTCGTCAGCTGATCAGGCTTTGTTCTTCGTGGTGCAAGCAGGCGAGGAGGCAGTCTGCCGGCCACTGCGTGCCATGGCCACTGCCGGCCAGCGTCCTTCACCCTACCCCTCCCAGCCATCGTCCTCCGGGTCATCGTCCTCTATATCACTCGTCTCCTTCGTCCTTTGGGCGGCCAGCCGTGCCGTGAGCCATCTGGGGCGGTTCTCCTTGAAGAGCGAGAGAGGCTACCTGCAGTTCAAGTCCAGGATCATGCGCCCCGCCCCGCCCCGCCCCACCCCGCCCCGCCCCCCGCCCCACCCCGCCCCACCCCGCGGCGCGCATCACGCGTCTTCCGCGCGACGGCGCCAGCACCGCCGGCAACGCGGCCGCGGCCGCGGCAGTGCGTGAAGGCTGGAAGTCTGCGGGGCAGCCGTGTGGCGTAGACCAACCGCAACCAATACAAACTGTTCCCCTTTTTCGTCCTGAACACAAATTACTTCAAATTTCCATGGCATCTCAACGGGTTGTGCGTGGCTCCTCTCCACAGATACAGCCTCCTCGGCGCCAGCGGGTGCGGCAAGACCACGGTGCTGAGCTGCGTGGTGGGCCGCCGCCGCCTCAACGAGGGCACCATCACGGTGCTCGGCCTGGCCCCCGGGACGCCGCGCTCCGGCATGCCCGGGCCCACCATCGGCTACATGCCCCAGGAGCTGGCCCTGTACGGCGGCTTCACCGTCACAGAGACGCTCAAGTACTTCGGCTGGGTGGCGGGGATGTCCCAGGAGGACATCGACGAACGCACCGCCAAACTACTCAGCCTTTTAGAAATACCGACTGAATATAGACTAGTTAGAGATCTAAGGTATGTTGGCGGCCGCCAAAGTATATCCCAGTGCACTTATGAAATTTACATCTTCCTAGATTTTATGGGCAATGATGATGGCTTGTTGACCACAGCGGCGGGCAGCAGAGGAGAGTGTCTCTGGCCGTCACCCTCATCCACAGACCCCCCATCGTCATCCTGGACGAGCCCACCGTCGGCGTGGACCCCGTGCTCCGGCAGAAGTGAGTCCCAGAACCCGCCGTCTATGCTAATCTTGTCCCTCACTTCGACGAGTCGCCACCGTAATGTCCCATTCCTTTCGCACGCAGCATTTGGGACCTGCTGCTGAGCATGACGCGCGACGGCCACACCACCGTCGTCATCACCACGCACTACATCGAGGAGGCGCGGCAGGCCGACACGGTGAGCTCCGAACCGGGATCGAGATGCCGCAACCGATCGCCGCAATTTCTTATTAGGCGCCGCGGATTGTTTCGTCATTTTGTATTTTCACGCGTTAAATTAAAGGTGACAGAGTTATGGCGGGTTGCGAGGCCTAGGGGCCCTGCTGCCCTGCGCGGTCCGCGGTCCGCCGGCGGGCAGGGCTTCTTGGCCGGCTCGGCGCTCGCTGGACGCACGGCACGGCCTGGTGCCGCCTGGTGCGTTTAGTGTTTAGTGCGTCTGCAAGTGAAGTAGGCCAATCGCCTCCCCGCCCTTGCCTGCCTTACGGTCTGCCTTCGCGGCGCCTCCAGCCCCGCCCCGCCGGCCCCGCCCCGCGCCCCGCGCGGCCAGACAAGGCCCAAGGCCGGCCAAAACAAAGCGCTGGCTGGACCCGCATTTGGCGCTATCGCGCTTTCGCAACGCGAGCTCGCCCTTTTTAATTGTATTTTGACGGCTCTGGCCGCTCCGGCCGCTCTGGCTGGCAGGCCGGGCCGCAAGAAGGAGCCAAGCCGTCGTGCCGTCATCTTGCGACAGGAGTCACTGCTCTGCCGACCAGCAGTTCGTTTCTAACTTTGTGCTTCGAACTTTCGGCCCTCGGCAGATCGGCCTGATGCGGAACGGCACACTGCTGGCCGAGGACCGGCCGGACCGCCTGCTGGAGCGCTACGCGTGCGACACCATGGAGGAGGTGTTCCTCAAGCTCAGCCTGCGGCAGCAGCGCGCCCTCGCCGCGCCGGCCACCGAGACGACCACGGCGACGGTCCCCGTCTCGGTCCCCGTCTCGGCGCCGGACGCTGCCGAGATGGCGGTTGAGGGCGCGGCGGCGGAGCTCGACCAGAAGGACGAGCCCCCCGTCCTGGAGGACGCCCGCCTGCTGCACTGCAAGCCCGTGCACCTGACCAACCACTGGAACACGCTGCCCTGCCTGTGGAAGAACCTAACCTACATGAAGAGGAACGTGGTGTAAGTACGCAGTGCGTCGGGCCGCGCGGAGCGGTGCGGAGCCGGTGTGGTCTAGCCCTTAGTGGTAATGGCGAGGGCGGCAAAGCGCTCCGCGCGCGCGCACCGCTGTGGTGCGGTGTTGCCTACCCTCGACTTCGCGGGCGTTGGGCGTTCCCAGTGGCTCAGACGGCTGGCGGTTTGCGGTTTGCAGGCCCGTGCTGTTCGTCGTCATCCTGCCCATCATCCAGTGCGGCCTGTTCGGCGTGACGGTGGGCCGCGACCCCAAGGACATGCGCCTGGCCGTGGTGAACGACGACGTGCAGTGCACCTACAGCAGCAACCTGGCCGGCGGCGTGGACTACAAGGGCTTCCCCGGCTACCCCAGCAACTGCACCACCAAGACGCTGCGCTACCTCAGCTGCCGCATGCTGTCCATCATCGACGACGACCGGATAGCACTCGTAAGCACACTGTGAAACACAGTGTGGTGGACGCTCGGGCGCGCAAACGCTTGACCCTTGTTTGTGGTGCGCAGGAGCCGTTCCCCAACATCCCCTCGGCGCTGGAGGCGGTGCGCGCGGGCAAGGCGTGGGGGGCGCTCTACTTCCCCGCCAACTACTCGCGCTTCCTGGCGGCCCGCCACGTGTGGGGGCGGTACGCGTCGGACAAGGCGCTCAACCACAGCGAGATCAGCGTCTGGATGGACATGTCCAGTAAGTCCGCCTCCACCTGTCGCTTGGCCGCGCGGCTGCTTTCGACGGCCACTGTAGCGACTGGTTTGCGTCGTCTGCTTGCAGATCAGTACATCGGCTACCTGCTGCAAGCCTCGCTGTCGCTGGCGGTGCTGCGCTTCACGCGCGACATCCAGGAGGGCTGCATGTGGAACACCAAGGCCACGCCCGTGCCCGTGCGCATCATGGACCCCGTGTACGGCCAGCTGGACCCCAGCTTCCAGGACTTCTGCCTGCCCGGCATGATCGTCACGTAGGTTTGCTTCTCGGTTCCTCCTTGCGACTCTCTGAGTCGCTTTCGTCGCTCTGTCTCTATCGCGGCTATGCGGGATGCCCCATGAGTGCGAGGGAGACATAGCGACGAAAAAGACTCTCGGAATGAGTGTGCTGACACCGCGCTGCCGTGCTTCCAGGACGGTGTTCTTCATGGCGCTGCTCGTGACGGTGGGGTCCATCTTGGAGGAGAAGAGGGACGGCCTGATGGCGCGCAGCCTCTCGGCGGGTAAGGCCCGTGCCCTGTCGGCCTGTCGGCGGCCCTCCCCCGCTCCCCCGCCTTGACCCGCAGATTCGTTTGCGCAGGTGTCACCATCCACGAGGTGCTCGCCGCGCACGTCCTGGTGCAGATCGTGCTCATGATCATCGCCATGGTGACCGCACTGGTGATGCTGCTGTGCGTCTTCCAGCTCACCAACAACGGCCCCCTGTACTGGGTCGTCCTGCTGTGCTTCCTGCAGGGGCTGTGCGGCATGTGCCTCGGTACGATAGAAGAATCCACCCCCTCTCTGTTTGTTTGGTATACGAGTTGTTAAATTTCACACTTCTACACCCCTGACAGGATTTTTCATCTCCTGCCTTTGTGAGTCCGACATGGCCGCTACGTACATGGGTGTGGGCACCTTCTTCCCACTCATTTTTCTCAGTGGTAAGTTAAAAAACATAAACCGGACAAAAATAATAATGGAAACTATTTTTTTGGACGATTCACTCATTAACTTGGCCTTTGCAGGCATGGTGTGGCCCGTCGAGGGCATGCACTCCCTGCTGCGGTCCATCGGGTGGGCGCTGCCGCTGACGCAGGCCACCACGTCGCTCAGGAGCATCATGGGCAGGGGCTGGAGCATCGACCAGCCCGCCGTGTACCTGGGCTTCGTCTCCACCGCGGTCTGGATCGCCATCTTCGTGAGCATCACCCTCATCACGCTGCGCGTGCAGAAGAGGATCTCATAAGCGAACCTTCCACGCTCTGGCTTCCCCTTCTCACGCCCTGCGTGACGATCTCGTGGACGGAAAGCATAGACTTTACAAGATTGTACCGCCGTCTGTGTCAAAGGGTCGTGACCGATTTCAGGGCTATTGCCCTCCCCACCCCCCCTCTCTCTCTCAGGCACCCTTTTTCCTCCCAAAAATGTCGCCTTTAAATTTTGACAAAAAGTACCTTTTGGCCCACGACACTTCCCTGCTGCGTCGTGTGTCCTGCTACACTTCACTACCCCTCTTAGATTTTATATTGATGGCTCAATGTATGAAAAAAATGTATGTTTTAATTCTAGTCTTCTTCCATTGTGATAGGTCTTAAAAGCAGAAATAAGGGAGAATTTTTTTGCAGGGTGCGTAAACTTAACAAAATTGATTTTGACATTTTCCTTGATATCTCTAAAGTACATGGTCAAAGTCAGAGTGCTCAGGAAGATGAGGAACCCAATTATGTTGAGTTCACACATCCTGTCTTTTTGTACAATACTGTTTTAGTACTGTATCAAGTGTAAGGTGTCATAGAAGGTAAAATCAAATTGTAACAATTTTGATTGCTCAATGCTGTGTCCCATGTTCCTGTCGGATCAGCACTAGCTCCCCAGTAGATAATCTCTCTCACTCTACTTGTTGCGTGTGAGGGTGACCTCTTCCCGATTTCCCGATGTAGCTGTAGGAGAACACTGTCTGCACATTTTGTAAATATCCAGAGATGTGTTGATATAAAAGGAAATTTAAATGCAATTTAAATGCTGCATCAAGATAATAAAACTAAGTTAAGGTGAGAATGCATTCTTTAATTGTTTTGTTTCATGTGAGGTACAATTCCATTATGAAGACAAGAAGTCCACCACCAATACTTCTTAAATTTTCAGATCCACGAAGAACAATCTGCTGTGGAACTGTGTTCTGGAACATTACACAATACACACTCAACTCACACTTGATATGCCAATTTTATGTGTTGTTTTTCATTCATATTTTTAAAAAAAGACAGCTGCAAAAACCATGAACTTGAAGGATGAAAAATAAAACACATTTTACTGACTGCAAGTGTAAAAATAAATAAACTTCATTTGAATCTGAGCATAATATCAATAAGGTTAGTATTGTCTGGATGAAAGAAAAGCAAATCATCCACACAGTAACAAATATGTCAAATAAGGCAAACAAGGTTACAACATTTGTTCAACGTTGTTAATAAAGCTTTGATTGATACTGATGACTCTTTGGTATTAGTGAAGTGAGTGGAACAGTATTCTAGAATGGAATATCACCATAAGAGGAAACATATGACTATCATACAGGTGCTCTCACAAAAGTACATAGGTGAAGTATTACAAAATTAAATTAAAATGTGTTAAGCACTTTGCATGTGAGTATTTTCTGAATAGCGTTGCTTTGCACCACGAATTAATAACAAAAGAAAACCACAACCACTTAATTAATTGTGGACCAGGTAGGAATATTCTTAACATAAAAAGCTGGCCCCTGAACCAATTCGACCTCTGAAATCAAAGATGATCCTGACAACTCAATGAACATTAAATATTCATATTTGTGTACAGTACAGGATACTGCTTTGAATATCAGTAATAAATTAAGGACACTATAATAAGATTTGAGGAGGGAAAGGAGGAGAATTCACATTTTCATGTGTTTGCTATTGAATAAAAACCTATATATCTTTGGGAACAGCCCAGTGATAAAACTAGGGTCCTGAGGAGCCTCAAATGGAAAGGCTCATCAAAGTGAAACTAAAAATTTAATGGCTCAGCTCAACACTGTCTTAATTATGGTCCGATAATGATGATCTGAATTTACATTAAAACACATACTACAGTAACAAAAATAATGTTATAAAACAGTATAAAAAGTCCAACCATGTCAACATGTAATAAATAAAAATACAACATATTTTTAACATTAAAATTCAAGTCAATATCTAGGTTTTAATTTTTTTAAACTATCACAGACAAAACAACAACCATATTGATAATTCTGATTAATGTTTTGACAGAAGATAGGTGAGAGAGAAAGAAAGAGTGAGAGCTCTTCAAGTTAAAATAGGATGAACCTGTGACTGTAAGCACAGAAATATAATGACGGCTGCTTCTGGAAGACATTCAAATAGCACAACTCATTAATAATGATGTGGCAAAAGGAGTGAAATCTGAAAAAAACAGTACAAATCCGAGAAGGCAACACAGATTGACCTTGTGATAACTTTCCCAGAATAATTATTTGCAGTGAAGAGGAGGAAAAACTGAACTTCAGCTACAACCAAAGTAAGTACCATGAGCTTTGATTAGAAGAAAAGTGTGAAGATCACAGTCGACACCTAAAAACTACGCACAGAAGGTTGTTTGAAAAAACACATTATCACGTACAAAATATTTTCTTAATATACATGTTTGGTTGCTTGCTTAAAAGGCCAGACTTTTAGAATGGAAGTGCAATAGACACTTTATTCTGGAAAACAGCAAAAGGCCTTATGCTTCAAGTAGACCAACTGTTGCTAAGTGAACCAAGTTGGTTCATTAACTTGGCCAAAGATGCATGAAACAATTTTGATTACTATTGAGAGCACAAAATCATACACTCATACATTGAATAAAGGAATGAAGAATTTTCAGAAGGTAACAATGAATCCAACCCAAATTCTTCCCTATATTACACTAACTAGGAACTGGGTTTTGGTGGTGAAAATTCACAATGGACCCAAATTAACACAATCGGAACAGTCGAACCACGAGAAGTTAAAATACTTCAGTTTCAATGTCATACACAATTCTTTTAAAACAATTTTAAAAAATAAGTGTCTCTACAGAAGAAACTATAAGAATATATTCACAACAATTTCTACCGGATAAAAAATAGGAGATTCATTGCAAACCAATGCTTACAGACGCCTTAAAAGAAAATCTAATTAAATCATTAACAAAAACAAAACAACCAATAAAATCTTGCAAGTGATAAGTACAGTGAAAGATACAGTAAAGGAATTTGCAAACAAATATAACAAGAAAACGATTTTTAGAATGTGGAAAAGGAAATAAAATAACACAGTCTGTGAGTGCACCTTCACTACCAAAGGCGAGAGTGTCGATATGCGGATTTATCTTCGGAAATAGTTGATTCCACACTCTTCTGCTGCAGAAAGCCAGGAGGGCAAGATGACTCCTTTGCAGATGAATTTGCAACCCCAACTATGACTGAAGTGTGCTCATTTTGACTACTGCCATTTAGTGCATCATCAGGTAGTCTGTCAAAAAAATACAAGCCCTTTAGTTTAGTGCACAGTAATGCAACAGCAGCATTTGAAGTAAAAGTAACTCAAAAACAGGTCAAACAGATTGTAAAACTGATTGATTGGGAATGTGATTTTCACAGCTTGTCAAATCCCAATTCATTGGAAAATTTACCATTAAATGTAAGTACAAATTAGTTGCAATTAGTGACAAAGCACTAGTTCACAAAATTTTCAGACTACCAGAAGATTGAAACCCAGTCATGTAAAGTTAATATTATTATTAATATTATCATTTTGTTAATGGGATTATTATGTTGCTGCTCAAAATACATGATTATGACTAAAACCACTTCACTGTGATGTGCAAGAATCTATGCATGCAATAGAACAGTGACACTGTGAGAAAAGCATGACAGAAGCATTTATACAATGGTGCTGTATATTATCTTCATACAGCCAATTTGGATTGTAATTTGTATAATGATACAGTACACATCAGCAACAAAACAAGGGGAAAACCAAATAATATACAAACAAAAATGTAAAATATTTACTTATGAGGAAAAGATTTTAAAAACGTAACGGTCAAAATCAACATTGAAGTGGTAAAACTTACTCGCTTCTTGGAATACTCTGGCTTAGACCATCATGGAGTATCTGAAAATAAAACATGCCATTGAAAAACAAATTTCATAATTCAAAAAATTACATCCAACACATGCATACATTGCCCATTGTTGATTCAGGTTTGTAGGCAGAAAAGCGACCAACAGAACATCTTGAAGCTAAATCATATGCACTGAAACAAATATGATTTTTTAAAATGATACATCATGAGGGGACCATCATTAATGTTAGACATTTAAAAAAAAAACAAAAAAACAATACCTGTTTCTGTTTGTTGACTTCACAGAGGACATCTGATTATTCACTCTTCGTGTTACCTGCAAACTGCTACCACCATTGCACACAGGAGCCTTCTGATTATCACCTATAAAATTTAAATGTGTGAATGAATTAATGGAAGACATGCACTGTGTTACAATAGACTGTCCCCTGGTATTACCTGTGGTTGTCTGTATACATTGTCATAACACATACATAATTTGCATTTGTTGGAAGATCAAAGCACATTTCTAATCACACTTCATTCTAATGTAACTTACCTTCCATTCCAGCCTCAGCTGTATCTTCAGTTTTAAAGGCAGCTTAGAATAAAAGCAATGCAATAAAGGGTAAAATTTTTGACAGAAAGAGAAGACACCTTTACCAAAAAAGTAAAGTGGAATCAGCTTTTAAGATGTGTTACATTGTTACAAAACGGTGAGACATTAGACATGACAACCAAACCATAGGAGCTTAACCAGGGGAACATCCAAGGCTTTGAATGTGTGCAGCTTACCTGAGTCACAGTCAAAAAATCCATCAAAGATGACAAAGTTGTTCATTTGAGGGAGAATGTGTTCAAGGCCATAATGTTTGTAGAGAAAAGTAAGAAATTTCTCAGAGGGACGGTCAATGGCCAGTTGCCGAGGAAGAACATTCTGATGCTGAAAATAAACAATTAATTACAAGAAGAATTTTTATTGAACAAGAGTTTAGTAAAATATAGATATCTAATGGGCACTTACTTTAAGCATGTATTCATAAAGTCTTTTGCCACAACCTGTCCGCTGTTTGGATTCATGAATGTAAAAGTCCAATATGCAAAGAGGCTCGACCTCATGTTGATATCCGGCCAAATCAAACATGAATAACTTTTTGCGACCAATTTTCAGAAGACCAACAACACTTCCTCTCCCACTGTTAAATGAGCAGAGAAACATGACTAAGACAATACTTTGACTAGAGAAACAAACAATTTTATTCAGATAAGGCATCCTTACTTGGAGGTTCCTGGGTCAACCAGTAAATACAGAATATGTTCTGAATCTTTCAGTTTGCCACCACTTGTTATGGGCTTAAGAAGTCCCTGTGCCTTAGCTGATGCCCATCCTATTTCGTCCAAAACAGTATTCACTTTATTTATGCAGTCTCTGAAGAAAGAAATGGGATTATAATTAGTCATAAATAAGATGAAATTATTACTACTGATAAAAATGAGAGTATTCTATTTTTTTTAAAAAGGGAGATATCGTTTGCACACACATATATTCTGTCTTGAAAAGGCTTATTTTTCTCAAAACCGGACAAACCCACAGCCTTAACCTAACTGTTAAAACAAGTTATCGTGAAGAGTCCTTAGACAAGAAAGGAAATGGACAGAGGAGATATTGCATAGTTGTCAACAATTCTAGTGACACAAATAATTACAAGTAATAATATATAACTTACAATCTTGCACTCATTCCCATTGATAGATACTGTTCAGGTAATAATTCCTTTGTCAAAATGGTAATTTCATTACTGAAGATATCGTTAACTCTAAAGTTAAAATCCATAGTTCCTTAATTTCTCAGAATTTTTGCCTTAATTCTCAGCTGGAAAATGGAACACTTTCACTAGGGAAATTCCCACAACAGTACCACAGCAACGAGAACGACGACAGAACTTCGGGAACTTGACACCATGAGCGCTGGCTGCCACATCACTCCAACTGAGCCAACATTTGCATTCATCTCATACCAGCAAAGTTGTAATTTTACAAAAAATTGAGCTGACTGAAAGAAATCATGATATTTTCGGGTGATTTCTTAACCATGACTCCAAGAAAAAGCAGTTTTGAAGTCATGTCTGTTCCGACAAGGCTGTCTTAAATTTTTGTTTAAGGTGGCCATGGTGGGAAAGTTTTTGCGTTGTTAGAGTGCTGCAAAATGTCATTGTTATTATTTTTGAACTGACAAAGTTGGCGCGGTGGGCTGCTGGCGAGGATTGTGTGTTTTGGTGGTTATCAAGCACGTTTCCTAGCAAGGTTAGTGAGATTAGAAGACGCTTGCTTCTCTCCGTGTCCTGTCACAGTTTGTTTTCTATCGAATTCCGCCTAGAGGTAGTGCTCGCAAGAACGCGCAGCACTACGGCCCCCGTGCACTTCTGACTGCTGCCAGTTCTTTGTGATGGGAAAGTAGTGTTATGTTGTGGCCAAGAACAGCTGTTCGCCTTCCAATTAGACTCTCAAGTTTCGAATTTTTGGTCGTCTGATGCCTCCTCTTACGTTTAGTAACGTTGTCAGTGAGCTAATTTCGTGTTCCTGACGAAATATTGTGGTTTTATGTCATGTTTGCTGTGGGGAACTGAGAGCTCGAAATAGGGTTCCGTTTTTCGATTTGGAACACGACTTTGGAAGCAAATCTGTTCAACCCATGGCATTGTTCCTGATGCTCTCTGCCGTAATTACGTGCCTTGTTGTGTTGACAACATAGCAGAGTTTTGTATCTCGTGTGTCTTTACTCGGATATGCCATTGTCCACCTTTCTGAGTCCGTGTGAGTGTTTACACTTCAGGTATCCTTGAAAAGTGCAGTCATACCCTAATGGCCATTCTTTGTATGCTGTGTCAGCTTTTGTTTGCTTAGTTAATGGTTTGATATTCAGTGGCACCTGAAAATTGTCTCAAATGTGCAGTTTACTTTGAACAAGGCTCTCAAATCTCTGATTTTCCTGTTAACCTACTTACACTTGATGATGCTTATGGCATCAGTTTGCTACATCTTTCATTGTTCTCATACCCTTAAAGGCGCTTTAATTCATGTTATGACCATCTCTAAGTATTATCGATTGTCACCCTGTTTTATGGTACTGACCCAATATTCTGCCTTTGTTCCAGGATGTAAACAATGTGGACATAGTGAGTATTTAATTTGGTCCACCAGATTCCAGTTGCCAATAAATGGTATTAGTGACCTTTTTTATGAAGGTAGCTATAAGTCTTTAACATCTGTCTGGAGTGTCATAATGGATGAAGTTGTGCATACCCCATCTGATGGAGGACCTCCTCCTGATGATGAATCAAGACTCAATGAATCGACAAGCACATCACCCATTCTCACTCGACATTCGGTCCGGCTACGGACACCCAGAACTATTGGATCTAGTAGTGGGTGGATTCATGCAGGAAACAGACAATCTTCTATAACTTCAGCAGAGGACACAGGCTCTTCTAACCTTCAGGTGTCAGCTCCTGAATCTTTTAATCAATTGGAGGAACAAAGTGAACACTCTAATCTTCCACCCATTGAAGACAGAGAGTTGATCATCCATCGTCCTGATAATATTTCTGTAATTGTCCAAGCTGGTGAAAGTGTTGGTGAAGATCTTGGAGTGTCTTCTTCCTCTGATGTGACAGATGACCGCAATATAGATGCTGTCAACGAAGCTATCAGTGTGGACAGTGTAGACTCTGGTGTGAATAGTGTCCACTTTCCTCCTGGAGCTTCTTCTGACAGTGCAACATCAGAATCTGTAATAGCACTAGATGAAAACCCAGAAACTGTTGACGTAACTTACGAAAACAACCCAACTCAACCTGTGTCTTCCAACGAGACATCTGCAGCTCCAGATGTTGAGAATCTACCTCTTGCTCAACGCATACGATCTCCTGGTACGCCATTATTTCTTTGTCCATTATTTTATTCACTTATCCATTCTTTTGTGTTAATGTATGTATTCTACTCAACAGATCTTCTACCTACAGAAAGAAGTCCCTTGGAAAGAAGTCCTCAAGAGAGGAGTCCTTCAGTAAGGAGTCCCCTAATAAGAAGTCCTGCTGAGAGAAGTCCACCAGAAAAAAGTCCTCCTTCCAAAAAACTAAAAACTGAACCTGTAGTACAAATAGCTGATGAAAATTTGGAAGAGGATGAGGGCAATCTCTGCTCCATTTGTCTGGATGCCTGGACAAATTCAGGTGACCATCGACTTGTTGCTCTTCGTTGTGGTCATCTCTTTGGGCAGCATTGCATCCTTCATTGGCTGCAGGTTTGGCTTTATATTTGTTTCCTTTTAGTTGTGTATTATCTTAAGATCATTCTATTTTGATGGTTTATGCCCTCACCAAACTGCATTAAACACATGAATGAAGTTAGAATGTGGTAAGTTGACTTGAATTTTGAAAGTTTGGAACAAATTTCAGATTCATAAAGCAAATGACAGAAGATGTCCTCAATGCAAAAAGAAGTCAACTGTGAAGGATATAAGACCATTATATGCTTCAAAAATTCGTGTTCTTGATACAAGTGAACAAGAAGCATTAAAAGAAACAATCAAGAAAGTAAGTTGATTTCCTGTTGTGTTTCTACGGTCTTGGCTGCGTAAATTACTAATTTGTTGATTTGTTTGATTTCAGTTAGAGCAGGAAAAAGAAAGTTTAACCCGTGAACTAGCCTATGAAAAACAATTACATCAAGAAGCCATCAAGATTCAAAATGAGCAGCAATTGAAATTGCAGCAACTTCAGAATCATGGCATCCTAGGCCATTCAGTACATCTGCCTGCTACTTCTAAACAAGTTGCTGCCATTGCTGCTCAAATCAAGATAAATTTATTGAGCCGAGTAAGTTGTTCAAGTTCAGAAAATGTATCCTATACTGTTCTTTGCTTTGTTTGGATTTAAATGGAGTACGAGGTATTTTACAGATTGAAGTATCCAGGCATGGTGATTGCCGTGTGCTGGCATTCAACGAATGGAAAGGAGTCTTGGTGGCTTCCAATCGGTCTTCAGTTACTCCTCTATTCCCCAACTATGGGATTAAACTGTATGATACAGAGGAGTTTCGTCTCTGTCAGACTATTCCTTTGCATAACAGTCATATCAGAGATTTATCATTCAATCCTCATCGGAAAGATTTACTCTTAAGTGTGTCTTTGGACAAAACTGCCAAAGTGTTTTGCACATCAACTAATGCAGTAAGTGTGCCTTTCTATGATGCTTTCTTAATCTCACAACATTTTATTGATTGTCTTTTCCCTTTTTAGCCTTTAATGTCTCTTAATGCTGAAGTACCCCTTTGGAGCTGCTGTTGGGATGGCAACAATTCAAACTTGTTTTTTGCTGGCAGTGGCAATGGTGTCACTCTCCAGTATGATCTCCGAAACCTTCGTAAGTACTTTTTAGCTCTTCATACATACTTCAATTTCAATATGGCTGAGTGGTTGGCTGCATCAAGAAATTACCCATTTTGATTTATACTATTTCAGACAGTGAAGTTAGCCGTATCACGACACAAGGGGATGCAGGACCTGTCGTTTCTCTCAATGCAATCCCAGGTGGATCTTGGTTACCAAATGGAGGGTTCCTATCTTGTCGTCTAAATCGTATAAGAGTTTATGAGAGAACGAGCAACTCAGAATTCAGAGAATATCCTCTGAGTATAGATGGGCCATTTTTTGCCTTGAATTACAACCACAAGTCTCAGCACATGTTGGTGTCAACCAGGCCCACTTCACAAAGTCCACATGTTCAGTACCAGCTGTACGAGGTGAGGGAATAACTGAGTGACATTTCATATCTTGCAAGTTTCCAACACACATCAAACGTGTTCTTTTTATGTTGACTCCAGGTTGGATTTGCTGCTTCCCAGCCTCGTACAAACCTTGTACACACCTTTCTAGGTGGGACGATTCAACGGGCTATGTCAAGGCCATGCCAATTGGAGGTAGATGGCAATGTGAAAGACACATTGATATGTGCCCACCAAGAAGCTGAAAGCCATGTTGCAATCTGGAGCATGAAAAGTGGACAGAAGATTCCAGCTGGACCTCTGCATTGCTCAGATCACGTAAAGGATCTTTGCCCAATCAACATTAACAACCGCTCTCTTCTTGCTTCACTTACTGACAAGGCATTAAGGGTCTATCAGTTCTCATCGTAATTTTTTATCTTTAAGATGGAATGATCTCTCACCGAATTCATGCTTTAGTTAAGGCTGTTCAGAATGTTTCATTCAATTAAGTATCAATCTCAAGCCAAAAATGTGAATTCACTTAGATACTTATTCTTTCTTTCATATTTAAATATTGTTTTGAATTGATGTTTAACCTCTTGACACACAATGTGCTTCATTTTGTTATTCAGGCATGCTTATTATACACTTCTACCATTGGAATCAGGTTTTGTGCTCAATGTGTACATTTGCTGATTCAGTTTTATCTACGTATATTTATTGTCACATAATTTTCCCTTTAAAAAAAAGTACAAAATTGCATCTAAGTGTAACTAGCAATTAAATAGTTTTTCAATCCAGTCATTACTTTTTCTAATAAGTTTTGCATTATTGTCATCTAGGAGTATGATATACATTATGTAGAATTATGAATGAAACTTTAGTGGTCCTTCATCAGTATCATGTACCTGCCATTCCTCCATTATGATGTCAATATCTGCAAGATGAATGCAGTGAAAAGCAAATTTATTTGATGTACAAAAGAAATTTCACTATCTGTCTAATATTTTTTTAAAAGCAATAAATGTTTCTATATTGTGTAAAGTTGTTTTATTTCTATTTTTAGTACAAATTTTTGTAGTTTTACAGTGAAAGGTACATTGAAGTTGAAGTTTTAACAAAAGATAGGACTACGGATATAAATATTATTTTCTAGTATCATATTTGTACAAACATTTTTTTAACTTACTCTAGGGTCTATTCAAACACAGAAAATCCGTGGTCTGGATCCATTGTTATAATTTGCAACTGTATATTCCCCTCAGCTTCTAACTGTTGTTGATCACCCTGTATAATTACATGCTGAACTTCACCTACATGCTCTACACCCTCCATACCAGTAACAAAGTCTTTTTCATCATCCAATTCCGCAGGTGCTTGAATTGGAGTGTTTGGAATGACCATTTTGTACTCACAAGGAGGAGCTTTGGTATTTAACATTTCTTTGTTATTGTGAACTTTTGCAAGGTGCACAGCCATTTTTTGTTTAGTGGTAAAACCTTTGTTGCATGGCTCACAGAAGTATGGATATGCTCCTGTGTGGAGAACAACATGCCTCTTAAGACAATTGCTGACCGTAAAAGTCAGTGCGCAATATGGGCACTTATACGGTCTTTCTCCTGTGTGCATTCTTCTTCGATGAACTGACAATAAAGAAGTATGTCTAAATCTCTGTCCACATGTTTTGCATTTGTATGGAAGAGGATTATCATGCCATCTTCTATGTATTCTCATAGTGCTATTAAATACAAACATTTTGCCACATACATCACAAGTGTACCGTTTTTCTTGTGTGTGACGACCCATGTGCTCATCCAGAATGGCTTTTGACATAAAACCTCTGCCACAGACATCACAACAAAATTTATATTGACCAGTATGTTTCGCTCTATGCAACTTCAAGCCAGAAGATGTTTTTAGAACTCTATCACACTGAGAGCAAGGGAAGCCTTCCTTGTCACGAACATGGCGTCTTTCATGATCTTTTAATTTCTTGATAGTATCAAATTGTTTTTCACAATGCTGACATTTGAGTTCTCGATGAGCATATTCTTTGTGTAAAGTAAGTTGTGATAACTTGCGAAATGATTTACCACACTCATCACAAGTTTTATCAGAGTCAGCATCATGCTCCGATTCATGCTTACGACGAGCTCGGATTGATTCAAAAGATTCATGGCAGAACTGACATTTGAATACTTCTGGGTGGTTGTCAAGCATATGCTTACGCAATGCAAATTTGTCAGAGGTAATTTCTTTACACACTGTACAAGCTACAGGAACAGGGCTCTTCAGACTTAAGTGCCTCTGCATGTGTTTTTCATAGGTGCGCTGGTTTTTCAGTTTCATCTGACAAATTTCACATTCTAATGAAAAAGCAATGCTGTGGGACTCTAAATGCTTTGATATTTCAATTTGATCTTCAGTGCGAAACTCGCAAATGGAACATACAAATACCTTACCCTCAGTATCATCCTTGAGTTCTCCAGTCTGCTCATCAAGTTCTGCTGACACTAAATCAACAGCTAAGACACTGTCTCCTTCCTGACCGACAATATCGTCAAAGGAAACTTCGACTCCATTAACAAATATTTTGTTAACAGTCTTACCAGAATCTTTGTCACTGTGAAAGTTTTCACCATCATTTAAGAAATCATCTTCTGCATCTTCATTGATTTCTTCAATACCATCTTCCCCTTCCTCATTCTCTGCACCCATGTCGAATTGATCATCACCACTGAACAAACTTATTGGAGAAGACATTTCTTCATCAAGTGTCTCCAGTTGATTTTGGAAAGCCACATTTATAGAAGTAGCATCGGATTTTTGAGCAAAATTGTGTTCTTCTTCTTTGATATTATCAGTTTCAGTATTATCTGAAGCTTCAAATTCCTCTCTCAAAGTATCTCGGCAGAGGGAATCAAAGTCAGTTGACTGTGAATTTTCTTCTGATTGAAGTTGATCAGCTACATTTTCAGAAGACTCAACGACATCTGCTGGCTCAACGTTGATCACGCATATGACAGGTGACTGATCATTTGCATCTTGAGGCCCACATTGGTGAACAGTGAGACTTTCAATTTGTTCATATGCAGCTCCACAGTCTGCACACTGGTATATCTTGTGGGTACTTGCATGTTCGTCTAGTGAAACTTGAGAGTTGAAGCACTTACTGCATATCTCACATTCAAAAGACTTTGGAAATACATGTTTGCGAGAATGTTCATCAAGTTCAGACTTTGCGGAAGCTGTGAAATCACACATGCTACAACCGAACAGAAATCTTTTGGGAGAGACTAGCACATGACTTTTCTCATGGATTCTTAACTCTTTCCATGACCGGCACTTCATTCCACAACTTTTACACTTCCATACCTTGGTGGGCATTGGCTTGAAAGGCACCATCATTGGTATTTGCTTTGTGTTGGTATTGGCCTTGAGTAAATCAATTATTTTTGAGTTTTCATCTAAAATAGAAGACTTGAAGTCTATATCCAAATGGCCACCTTTACCATACATGATCTGACGCAAAAAGTTTAAAAAAGAAATTAGTTGTAAATTGTTAAAAAACAAAACAAAAAAACACATTACCTTTTATTAAGAAGAAACAAATACCTGATTGACATCTTCTTCCAAATTTCGTTTAGCTCTTTCATCAAAGATCGGAGCGCGATTCTCAGCAGATTCAGACGGCTCCTCCTTGATAACTGTTGCAAGAAACATAATATTTAAACAATTCATTGATATGCACAAAACATGATCATGAAACAAATTCCATGATATTGAAAACTAATTCTTACTTTCAAGAAGGCCATATTTTTTGCGGAGGTAACTGGTTAGTAGACGGCGAACTTTGTCAAGGTCTACTTCTAATTTGTCCAATAAATTGAGAAGATCGTGGCAGCGACTGCAAGCCTCATCACAAGCAGTTACGACAACCATAAATCCATCACCCATTAACTGTCCTATCTTTGTTGGAAGGCCAGTGCCGGAGTATTCTGTGAGGTTGGATAGCAAAAGAGCATTGCGATCTCTAGATAGGGACAAGTCTTTGTCGCACACAAAGCACTGACTGCTCTTCATTAATACATCAGCCATATTGAAAATGAAAAAACTGAAATGAAAGAAAAAAAGTATATTGAGATCAGTCGAACATTTACCTTCAAAGAAAAATTAATGTATTATCAATGTTAATTACAGTAAACATTACTATCTAGGAAAAGAAAAACTTAGTAAACAATAAAAAAAAGTGACAATCACAATAAAAAAAAATTTAAGGCAAAAGCAACAAAGACTAAATAAAAATAAAAAATCGCCAAAAGGCTACTTTAAGGTTATGATTTCTTGGACTTGTCCAGCAACATATTTAAATGCTTGGAAAGGAAGATGAATTAACCTCACCTTTCTGCTTCTATTAATTTTTAATGTAATAAAAACAATACATATGTAACAAAACATTAAATGATGTAAAGCCGAGGCTAACTCACCAAAGCAGATATGTCAACGTTTGTGCAAGTGTCGCCCTTGTGATTTAACCCGATGGGATGGAGTGATCCACCAATTGATTGATCGAGCTTTAAATAATTGGGTATCAACGTATCTCACATCATCTTCACTCCTGACTATGTTGCTTATCCATTCAATAAATCCGCGCGAATATTGGGTGTGACGCGTTCCTAACTGCTGCGGATACTTCAGCGGTTCGGACTGACTGACCCTCTGTGACCCATAAGGCCTTGCAAGTTACACGGCGGTAAATTCCAATTTTGCTTTGCGTGTGGAAGCCGAAAGGCGTGCAGGGGGCCGCCTTTTACTCCACGCAACATGATGCCCTCTTGCGGGGACATAAATAACGAGAAAAGAGGCAATAAATGTTTTTTCAGTTTTCAATTTATTATTTGATAAAAAATAAAAATCATGATCTAATGAGGAACATGGTCTCAAGACTTAATAAATTTATTCATTTCGTCTACAGCTTTCTGTAGATCTGCCTTTGCTGACAAAGGCAATGAGTGGAAAGAGCAATGAGATAAAAGATAATCACTGTCTTTGACAATCCTGCTGATAGCACTGACAGCTTCTGTGCAATCTTTTTCAACAAAGTCAGTCAGTAAATCATCTGCTAAAAAGGCACTAAGATCAGAAGACTCATCAAATTCCAAACGAAGTTTCTTGGCTGGCTTTTCTGGAGATTTTGGAGAGGCCTTTCTTAATTTCTTAGGATCACACTTGTGTTTACAACATATATTTGACTGAAATATGAGGTAGTCATGATTGTTTAAAGGCTCCGATTCGACAACAGGAGTTTCCTTTTGTAAATAGGACGTTACAATATCTTGAATGCTTTTACTATCAGCAACTGCATCTGCCACAATTGATTCATGAGCAGTAAAATGAGCGAAATATTCGAAAGTTTCCAGTGCTGTTTCTTTAACAAGCGGGTTTCTTTCTTCTAATAGGCAGGAGAATAAATTTGAAATTTTAGAACATACTAATTGCTGGTCAGGGGAAGGTTCAAGTGTTTTGGTTGCTAACCCATGTATAATTTTTATGACTGAGAGCGAGACAGAAGGAGAGTTGCAGCGGCTGGCAACACCATCAAGTAGGTTCAAAATCTGTAAATAAAATACAATAATAATAAAAAGGGAGACAGCAGAGTGTCATGTTATGTTTGAAAGATGTGTTCAAAAATGAAATTTACCTGCAAAATTTCTTTATTGCTCATGATACACACAAGGTGCTCAGTGCATTTAGACAGAACAGTCAAGAGCCTGTGTAACCATTTGGGTCCACTCACAAAGTGGTCTGATGAATTAAGATGTTCAACTAAATCACCTCGGCATGCATACTGCCAAACTGAGAGGATTTCAGAAACGATAGAATACTGTTTAACATCGCAAGATAATTTTCCTTTCGTAGTTGATTCTAGTGCAGCTTGAAGTCCAAACAAACAAGAAATCTAAAAACACAAGATATAAAAAATATTTAAGTTTCAGTTTTAATGTGGGGAGGAGAAAAAAATGAAGATAGGAAATATACTGAACCATTTTGTTAAATTCTGTTGCAGAATAATTTGAGTTCTGAAAATTTTGGATACTGCTGATACAGCTAGAGACAAGGGAATGAAATACAGCACTCCACATTTCTTTGGAAAGGCTTCCAAGTCCAAATACATGCCATATCAGGGGATGTTCCGAAGGGGGGAATTTGTCAATCAGCATTTGTTTTCCTTTGTTACTGAGAAATGAGCACATTCTCTGCAGGAAAAGAGAGATGACCTTGCATTCTGTCCTTTCACTAAGGTGTGAAGGTTGGAAAGCTGACACTACATCAGCAAAATACAAGACTTGGTCCAACACCAGTTCTGAACTTCCAGCTCTGAAAGGGAAAGTGTACCAGAGCGTTCATTTTAATAAGCAAAAGGCCATGTACAGTATGTCAAAATATGATGCAAAACAAACCTGGCACAAATACACCACACATCTCCAGAAAATAAGGACGGCCAAAATGATGAAGCTACTAAACTATCTGCCAACAATGATTCAACACTCTGGAACTGTTCATTATTTAATGTTAGAATTAAAGCAGCACAGTTACAGCAGAGTGCTTCATACAAATCACATCTTGCAGTTGTTCCTCTAGATCTGGCAATAGGAAGTGAAACTCCACTATTTAATTCTGGATGACCTGTTTGTCACATGATGTCACATGAATGATATAATCAGTAATAGTATAGTCACTTCAAACATGACAAACAGCAGTTTACTTACAAAACTTCAACAGTTCAAGAATACTGCTTATTATATTTCCCTCCTTCGGGCAACCAGTCCACAAATCTTTAGTTTCTGTATCAAGACTAATCAATCGCTTTAAAACAGACAGAACTAACAATAAGTGTGGTAAACAGTCATTTCGAGATTCAGATAATATTCTGCATCTTCTAAAAAATTCCTGATGAGATGAAACAAAAATGTTATGTTTAAGACTAAATTGCTTCTTATAGGCGGCAGATTAAGTCAGTGGTTTGAACATTAGTACCTCTCTAAAATCACTTTCACAGATGATATGTGACAATAAAGGATCTGCAGCAATTGTAAGATGGCGCTCTATCTCACTAATTAAATTAGGTTCCACATTCTGCGTCATCAGCATTGGAGGAGAGTATCTGGAATTCAGACAAATAAGTGAACATTTATTAGTGAACACCTAAACATGTAGTATACAGGTTTACCGCAATTAAATTGTTTTTAACTACAAATACCTGTGTAAAGTAATGAGTAACTGATATAAGATAGAATGGCAACCATTTAGACAACCATTGCCACATCCAAACTGCTCACTTAGCTTAACAACTATTTTTAAAAGGAAACTAGAAGTCTTGAGTAACCGAGGTACACTTTTTGGGTCTGTAGTTGATTCCTGAACAGACGACAAGACATTAAAAACTTGTAATACTCTTATTATGGCTGCTAAAGGATCAGAACTGAACCTACCTGACAAGTAAGAAGTTCTAAATTGTTGGTAATTTCTGAAGAGAGGTAAGTAAGAGGGTATGAAATGCTTAAGCGGCCTTTTAATGGCTCAAGATATAACTGTACAATCTTGGTGTAGCCTTTCCATTGCTCAGCCATTGTTTTTATGTCGAGACTTGTCACATGTTCACCTATTTCTGACAGTATTTGCAATACTAAAAAGCACAAAATACAAATGAGTGCAAGACTGTGTAGTTAAAAGCAATGAGCAAACAGAGAGAACTATATGAGTACAAGTAACATACCATCAACAAGGTGGACCATGTCCGTTTCCACAGAACTATCAAACTTTATGTTAGATGTAATAACAACAAAAAATCTGCTGTGCACTTGGTGACACTGACGGAACACAGCACCAAGAACATCAGCAATAGATGAAAATAAATCTCCATACAAGGCATCACTGAAACAAAAACAAGAAATCATGTATTGATCAATTAAAGAAAATTTATGAAATTGTGAGTATTCTAGCTTAAGTTATCACAAAAAAAAAAGAGAGAAAATTTTACCTTTCCTTACAGTGCTTGAATGCTTGCAACAATAAGACAGCCACAGTCTTGGGAACATTTGGAATAGAAGATACGTTTACATTCCCTTGAGAAATTATATAATCCAGCACACACTCCATACATTTAAGTAACTCAATACAAACCTAAAAAGAATTTTTGTTAACATTTACAAATTAATTATCGGTCAGATATACATTTTGGTTTGTAACTAACTTGAAGAAGACTTGAAAGTGTATCAGCAATGGAGTCAAATTCCAACTGGGACTTGTCATCTAGGCGCAATTTGATTCCTTCTAGGGACTGTGACAAGAAAAATGGTCGAGACATATTAAAAACTGATAAACCTAATGATTGCAGAGGATAATGTGACTGAGAGCGCAGCACCTCCTCGAAAAGCAGAAGAGCAGCAGGCAGGGCAAGATGTAGCACACAATCGTCTGCTTTTTCGACTGGTAGACATGGTAAACAAGTGACAAGGAGGGCATAGACTGACTGCAACACTTGTCCTTTATCCTCGGCACCCAGATGGCTGTATGCATAGTTAAGACTGGCACAAAATGATATTGGAACAGCAATCTAACATTAATCATAGCTTTAAATAATAAATACATCAGTTTTGGATATGGCAGTCATTAAGGATATCAGAAGTTCTTCAAGGACGTGGTCTAGATTGTTCTCTATTTCTTCAGGAGACCACTCAGACAATTTTTCAAAAATCTCTAGACCTGGTCCTTGGGAGGTCATGTTGCCTGCCTACTGGAGGTTAAGATATGAAGGGACAAAATACTGTATCATCTAAATTTCACAATTCCACGGGCACTGCAGACCGACTGCCAGACTTAAGGAACTGTCGGTCTATAAGAGATAAAATAATAGCACGACCATGACGTAAATCTACAAAAATAGACTAATGTTTGGATTTTTTCACAAAGGTTTTGTTTACACATTTAGATTCTACACGCACCTTAAAGTTTAGCGGGCAATCACAAGTCGCACCAACGTGAGCCCATGTGGGGCAGAACGAGGTCGAAAGCAGGGATTTATAGACACATCCAGTGCAAAAAAATATTCAAAATACGAACAAAAACTGTCTACGAAAATTAATCAAGCTAGATTTGCCCGGTTTTGTCCCAGAATACTAGAGGCATGTTTTTATTGCCTTGGCAGCACTGGAGTGCTGGTGTTGTTGTTTTTGTTGTTTATTGACGTAACAGACAAGCAGAAAGCAGACGTGCTCTGCTAGGCGAGACAAGCCTATTTTCTGTACGAAACTCAACAGAAATTATGGCAATGCAAAATTTACTTATTGAAGATATGACGGTTTCTCCGCTGAAAGAATCCATGTTTGTGAGACCACTTAGTTTAGAATTCAAAATGGTATGTACTATTATCAGTTAAGGCACTTCTGACTGCCGTCTCCCATATTATTTGACTATTTACTTTATTTGTTTACAGAATGGCAGACGAAGAAAGTGGGACATGATTAAAGTACACGACAGGTGAATATTTGTATTTGTCAAGAGGGACTTAATTATTGGACTTGCTCATTCGCCCACGGTTGTCATGTCTTAAACATCTTTTTGTAAATTGTTTATTTATTCACAGTGTGGTAATTGTCATCTTTAACGTAACTAGACAAGTTTTAGTTTTTGTGAAGCAATTCCGTCCTGGTAAGTGCAATGTCACTCTGTCTAGTAGAACAGTCATAAACATAACTTTTGAACAAATATACTGTTTCAGCCATTTACTTTTCCTCTGTGCCTGATCAAGATAAACAAAATGGCAAAATTGACGTATCAAAGTACCCTCCATCATTGGGTATAACTCTTGAATTTTGTGCTGGCATTGTTGATAAAAGCAAGTCACTAGCTGAAACTGCCAAGGAGGAAGTCCTTGAGGAATGTGGATACGATGTTCCTGTTGAAAATCTTCACAAATTCAAGACTGCAAGGTACCTATAAATTTTGTGAATTGACGCTGAAGTTGAACAGTATTGACATCATCTTTCTTCATTTATGTAGGGCTGGAGTGTCTACAGAGGGAACTCACCAAACATTCTTTTATGTTGAAGTTACTGATTCTATGAAAGTTAACCAGGGTAAGTTCCTAATTTTCTACAAACGATATGTTTTCTTTAACTTGAAGAAGTTTTATTGGTTTGATATTGGCTTGCAGGAGGAGGATTAGTAGATGAAGGAGAAGTAATAGAGGTGGTAGAGATGTCAATACCTGAAGTACAAGCGTATGCTGAAGATACTGATAATATGAGTCCACCAGGGTTCTTATTTGGGCTTCTCTGGTTTTTGAAGAATAAATTACCAAAATGCTAACTTATTAAGGGCTCACGTCAATTCTTCAAGGAATTTTGCTTCACCTGTGAAGTGCATGAAACTTCATGAATGCTTCAATGTAGGCAGACAGGTAAAAATGGGTAAAATGGGTAATAAATTTGATTTAACTTTTAATAAAGAAATCTCAACATTGTTATAAATCTAAAATATTTCCATGGGTTTTACACATTGCACCCACTACATCTTGAAAGACATATTACCTAATCATCAGCAGTAAGGAGAAAAATAGACGGGAGCTGGTCCAGCTAATCTTCAATCTCATCTCCATAGATATTAACCCTTTTGCGTCTCCTGACTTTAGACGGCACATCATCATCCGACTGAATTGACGATATTAGAGGAGTGCTTTCAGCGTAGGGTGACGGAGGGTCAGAATAGGACGATGATATTGGTGGTGAATACTGAGAATCATATGGGGCATCATCTGGACGTTGTGACTGTGGCGGAGGGTACAACTCTCTTGAGGCATCAGCTGGACTGGGAGCAGCCGGAGCCCTTAAGAAAAAACAAAACACATTATAAACGCCGATAATCAGAAACCTATATAGGTGATAAATAAAACGGCAAACTTACGTTCTTCTGCTTGTGTACTGATCTCTGTTTCTACGACGTAAATCATCATAAGTCTGTTGACTAGCTGAAGGGGCAAACTGAGATGATTGCTGAGGTGAAGATTGTGGCACTTTGGAAGCATTGTAGTCCGTAACTGGAATTTGCATCAAAATATTAAACCATAAATAAGTCATGGTGACCAAGGCTATCACAGCAATCTACAATCAATAAATACTCACTTGGCATTTGTTCTGGAGAGTCAGGAGCAAATGCCACCTCTCTGGGTTGTCTAATATTTGAAAAGTGTTAGTTCCACAGAAAATTTGATGCTTTAAGTTGCAGAATTACGTTATATAGCCCAATGATACTTTACCGCTGTTCTCTGTTTCCCCTCCGAGCAGCTACGATTGTTCCATCTGGAAACTGCGCTTCAGCTGCATCAAGACATGATGGTATAGAAGCAAGACGTCCCAAAACCAGAGATGAACAAACAACTCCTGCTCTGGCCAACATTCCAAGGTGGTAGCCTACATTCCAATTTAAGAAAAAAAGAGCAAATTTACTTGATTGAACAAGTGCAGCCAAGAGCATAAACTTGTAAAATTTCATACACCAAAGAGGCCCTATCACCTTTACCTACCTTTCATGCTGGCAAATTTCATAGCGATAAGACTGCCTAGTGCCATTGGAACAACGTGGGTATATGTTTTACTACTTATGCAATCTTTGACCCACTTGGTCTCTTCAGGGGAGATGTCTAGCTCCTGGTCAACACAAAGAAAACAATCGGGTAAAATTTTAACATAAAAACGGCCGGATCAGCTTCACCGGTTGAAGGTTAAGGGTGTACATCATAAACAAACGCAGAGCATGAAATTCAGTTCACACAAATTGACAATTACCTGGTTTGGTAGCCGACGCGCATCCATTGCTTTTCTTTAAATGTTTGTTGACTAGAGCAATCTTTAATTTGATACTTGAAAGATAATACGAGAGAAGTTTGACTCAGGTTCAATGCTCACGTAATGTTGCCGTCAATTCAGTGCCTGTCAGTCAATTTAAAATGACACTTGGCAATACTATTTTTTGTGCTTCAGCCAAGAAACAGCCAAATCTTTCCAATAATGAAAGTGTAACATACGGGGACGAGCGAAGGGCGCAAAGACACTGTATGTGGGGTTGTTTGTTGGCACACCCGCATCACGAAGCTCCAATTTCTCATAACTAGGCCCGTGCCCCTGAGACCCTGTTCCCGCGTCAGTTTTGAATTTTCTTCGCGATAAACATGCCTCAAGGGTCGGTAGTAACTAAATGGGATATTTATTGCACTGTACAATCTACGAAATGAATAGCAAACATGCACTTATTGGAGAAGGAGCAGCTAAATTTGGGCCAGCGCTTCCGCGGGAGCCTTGTCCATGTTGACGTTTAACACGTTGTTCTGCAGGACGTCCACCACCATCTGCAGGTTCTTTATCCTGTCTTGAGTTTGGCCAAAGCTCTGCTTCATGTTGGAAACCTCTGTCTGAAGCCGCTGCTGGAACTAAAGAGAAAGGGGTCCAAGAGGGTCGGTGAGCGCAGCGTCCGGCTCTCGACGGGGCGGTTCTAGGCCGGGAAGAGCGTGAATCGCGTGTATGAGAACGACGTTGCCAACCTCCTCCTTCTCCTTGTGCGCCGTGGCCGCGCTGGCCCTGCTCTCCGCCAGCTCCTGCTCCAGGACCCCGATCTGCTTGCGGAAGGAGCGCTGCATCGTGTCGGCCTGCTCTCGCAGACGCGCCGCCTGCAGGCAAGCCAACGAGCGTTGCTTCGGTTGCTGCTCCTGCAGCCGGCTTTGGCCTGCAGCAGCGCGGGCCAGGTCGGGGCATACCGCGGTCCCAGTCGCTGCCGCCCGCCATGGCGCCCGCGAGGTCCAGGGCGGGCCAGCCCGCGGGCCAGGTGCGTGCCGCGGGACGGCCTACCCCGGACTTCGCGGGCGTTCGCGGGGTTCGCGGGGGATGCCGTTGGCCGCTGTTTCTCTACCTGTCGAGTCGCCTGGTCCTTGGACGCCTCGAGCTCAGCCCGCACCCTGGCCAGGTCCAGCACGGTGTCCTCGTGCAGCTGCTCCAACTGCTCCATGTGGTGCCTGCGAGCACGCGTTCCTGCGTTACCTACCACGGCCTCCTCCTGCTGGGGCGCGGCAGACTGGTTCCGACAGTCGTTTTCGTTGCGCTGTCTCTCTCGCACGCACAGGGGACCAGTCTGCCGGCGCCGAGGCCCGGCCCGGTCGAGGCTGCGGAGGGCTTACTTGTACCACGCGACGTCGTCCCTGAGCTTGGCGCACTTCCTGCCGTTGGCGTCCACGTGCGACACCAGGGACTGCCGCTCGTCCGTCCAGGACTGCTGCTGCGCCCGCAGATCGTTGGCGGCCTTCTCCGCGTCCTCCAGCTGCCGAGCCAAGAGCGGTTTGTCGCGGAAAGAGTTTCAGTGGATTTTAGCGTGCTCTAAAGGACCCCGCAGGCCCACCCGCTCGAGCGCGGCGGCCAGCTGGTGGCTGAGCTCGGCGCTGCCATGCTCCGCGGCGACCCGCATCTGCCGCTCCTCCTGCATCTTGGCCTGCGTGGCGGCCAGGATGTCCGGCAGTGGCGCCAACTCCTGCAGCTGCGCCTCGAACTCGGCCTGCGCACAGTCCCCGAGTTTGAGGGGAGGGACAGCATCGTTTGTCCTTATCGCACTCATGGGGCGCCCCTTGTGGGTGCGAGAGAGACGGAGGCCCCACCTTGGCGCGGTGCAGCTCGGCGAGCACCTGGTCCGCGATGCGGTCGTGCTCCGTCTCCATCTGCTCGATGAGGCGTTTCTGCTCCTCAGCCTGCTGCCGCGCCATCAGGTACTGCGGGGCTTTCTCCTTTGTAATCAACGCTTCCAAATCAAGCGCGAAGAAAGCATTGTCGTGCGCTGTGAAGTGAACCTTGTTCCTGTAGCCTTCCAGGTGGCCTGCCTGGTCCTCGATGAGAGTCCTCATCTCCTGCAGCTCCTCCTGCGCCTCGCTGTACTGCAGCGTCATCTGCTGCACCATCTGCTGGCGCTCGAGGGCCGTCTCCCTGGAGCCTACCATCTTCGCGGCAGTGACAGTGCGTGGCGCTCCACACGCATGGCCGCGGCCAGTGTTGCCACACGAGGAGGCGGAAATCACCACGGTGCTTCTGGTCGAAAAGGTTGCCAACCTCAGCCTGCCACAGGCGCCACAGTTGCCTCCCATGAGGCAATTGGAGGTAGACAACCCTTTCGACAGAACTGCGTGGCGGGAATTTTCGCCTTCGTGTGTGGCAACAATGTCCACGGCCTTCGCCGGCGGAGCGTAGGGCGCGCAGGGCACGCGTGTACCTTGTTCTTCTCGCACTTGAGCTCCATGGCGCGCTTCTGCCAGCCCTCCAGGGCCTCCTGCAGGCGCTCCACTTGGCCGCGGAGCTGGCAGTTCTCCAGGGCCTTGGCCTCCAGGGCCTCGCGGAGGCGCGTGACGGGTTCGTGGCGCCAGCCGAGCGAGCCGCGCTGCTGTGGCGGCCAATGTGGTAGAGCCGAGGCAGTGCGTCGAAATAGTGCAGCGGGTGCATGAACGGGTGCGACAACAGAGTAGTCAGAATGGCGCCCAAAAGGTCGAATCATGCCAAATTTGGACCAAAATCGCTCGAGTTCATACTGACATCAATCTTGTTGTATTTTCTGTCCGCCCTGAGACATGTTGTAACGTGAAATCACCTCGGGAGTGCACTGCGGGGCCGGGCCCGACCCAGCCCTGACGGCCCCCGCGGCCGCGTGGTTCATATCTGCTAATGGCCCTGCCAGTGGTTCTGACAAGGGCTCCGCCGACGGCGCTGTCAATAGATTGGCCGACTCGGACAACGGGACGGGCACGGCGGGGGCGGCCGCCTTGAGGGCGCGCCGGTGGCTGCCGAGCACCTCCCGCTCCCTCTGCACCTGGAGCAGCTCCTGCTGCATCACGCCCAACTCCGTCTCCATCTTGGCCAGCTCATTTTCCTGCGCCGGGATGCGAAAAACACGTTTTTCCGCTGCCGATACCGTCACCATCGCGATGGACCGGCCACCGGCCTCGCCAACGCCGAGAGTCGTTTTCGTCGCGCTGTCTCTCTCGCGCCTATGCGGGACGCCCCGTGAGTGCGAGAGAGACAGAGCGACGAAAACGACTCTCGGCATGAGGCTGCTGACTCACGATTCCCTTGGTGTCGGCCTGGTCGCTGTGCTGGCTGTGCTGGCTGTGCTGGCTCTGCTTTTGCTGGCTTTCCTGGCTTCGCTGGCTGTGCTCCTCGTCCGAGCGCGCGCTCTTCTTGGCGGGGACGGCGCGGTGGCGGCGCGCTTTCTCCTTCTCCACGGACTGGAAGGGGTCGTGCACAGACACGTGGCCCGTTCGTTGGGGGTTGGAGGAAAGGCGGCCCCAAAGTAGTCTATTTTGGGTCACGTGGTGGTGCGCCACGTCGCAAACGGGTCGGGGAGGGGGCTCACCATTATGGCTGCCCGGCCCGCAGCGGACCTCGCACTCTCGCACGCTCGTTCACGACGTCGTCCTCGACGTCGTCCTCGACGTGGTCCTGGACGCCACGGCACCGCTGCGGCGGCACGCGTCACTGCCAACGCGAACGGGGCGGCGCGCCCGGGCGGCGGGGCATTGTTCGCAGCTATGGCAACATGGGCTGCCCAGGACCGTCAGCCCGGACGCGCCATCTCGGCCGAGGTGGTGGTGAGGTGACCCGTGGCCGGGACGTGCGGTGCATTTCCAACGCAGAGCCGCGGGCGACGAAGCGCGCCGCTTGGCGCGTAACTTAACAGAGTCCCCTTGCTCCAGGCGGCCGGGCGGGCCGGGCCAACCCGTTGTTGTCGCAGCGCCCGCGCAGCTCGCGTAGCTCTTGATGCCACTACCAATTCCCAGCAAGTCGCCGCCCCCCGGCCGCCCCCCGGCCGCCCCCCGCTCCGACCGGGCCGGGCCGGGTCCCGACTTGGGCCACTTGGGCGCTTCGCGCTTCGGGCTTCGCGCCCCTCCAATCTGAACCAATTACGACGCGGAGTGGAGCGGAGTGGTACCCGGCCGGGGCAAGGACCGCGAGGGGCTATGGGGGCCGTGGCGGTCGCGTGCGTCGCCGCGTGCGTCGCCGCGTGCGTCGCCACGCACGCCAGCCGCCTCAAAGGAGAGGCCCTTGAAGCGACAGCAGTCGTCCCTGGCCGCCCTGGCCTGGCGCGCCCGACCAGGACGACACGCGACAGAAAGGCACAAAAAGTTGGACCCGAGTCTTGGCAGCACACTGCGGGCCAATCGTGTCACGCACGTTCGAAACGCACTCCAAGAAAGTGAGTTCTCGTTCCTGAAGAGTGCTTTGGGGCATTGGGATGGTATATGAGATTTAAGGTCGCTGCCAGGGAGGTATTCGCGTGATTCGCTCAAGATCAATGTCTAATGTCAAGAACACATTTTTTGGGATTTATTCGTGGGTTATTGTTTTTGCGTCGAAAGAATGGTGACAAAAACAAAAGATATTCCAGTGAACCCCACACGATTCAACTCTCGTCTGAATGTTTGAGCGAAAGTCCCACGCCGAACTCGTTGAATCCGCGGTCCGTCTTGAAGGAGGAGCCGTAGAAGCGGAGAAGCGGAGAGCGTCTGCAGACCGATTCCGAGAAGTGCTTTCGTCGCTCCGTCCTGTCTCTCTCGCGCGGACGGGGCGTTGCGTAACGGTGCGAAGGAGACGGCGCGATGAAGCGGTGCTCGGCATCAGCCCTGAGTGGAGCGTCGGTGGAGCGACCGGGCGACCCCCGAGGCCCTAGGCCCGTCCTGGGCCCGTCCCCGCGTGCGTCCAAGCCGGCCTTGCCCTGCCTTGCCCTGCCCCGCCGGCCCGCACCCGCCCCCACCCCTTGCCCTCTCTCGGGGGGCGCGCCGCGCCTGCCCGCCCGGCTCGCCTCGCCTCGCCGCCCTCACTGGATGGCTGGCTGGCTCAGTCAGTCCGTAGCGGCGCAGCAGGGAGCAGGGCGCAGGCGTGCCGAGCCAGGACCCTCCGGCCACCGCGACGACGCGAACGTGCGTCTTGCCGCGCCACCCCGCGCCTCGCACACCAACCACGCCACCGGCAGCGGGGCAGCGGGCCACCCGCGGGCCACCGGACACCAACAACAGTGACAGTGACGCCTGTTGGCTGCCAGCCTGGCCTATCCTGCCGCCGGCCTGCCGCGCGCGACGACCTAACTGTTGAGCCTGCCGGCGCAACGGCCCGCACCGCCCGCACCGCCCGCACCGCCCTAGCAAAACAAAGCCGCCGCCTTGCGGACGCCTTGCGGGCGCCTTGCGGACTTCCAGCCCACCTACGCCTCCGGCCTCTGGCTGCCTCTGGCATCCGGCATTCAGCAGCCAGCGCCTCGGAACACGCGGCCACGCCGGCCGGAGGTGAGGAGAGTGGATAGTGACGTGGGAGTGGATAGTGGAGTGGAGAGCAGCGCTCGGCACACAGTATGTACGCAGTACGGCTCGGCGAGTAAGCTTACCTGTGGCGCAACGCGCGGCCTTGCCCGCCGTCTTCCGCCTTCGTCGCTACCCCGCGCGTCAGTCCGCACAGCCGCTCTCTCTCCCTCGCACTCACAGGGCGTTCGGAGGAGTGCGAGTGCGACAGAGCGGCGAAGCAAGGCCCAGAGAACTGGTCAGGAAGATGGGATGACGGAGAGATAGCTGAGTAAGCTCCCCAAACGAGTCGCGGAAAACAGGCGACGTTGTCGCTACCCCGCGCCGGGGCTCTCAGGCGGCAGGCTGGCGGACAAGCTACAAAGCGCACCGGATATCATCGGCGTCCCCTGTTGCTGGCTGCATCGGGAACCACGTCGCCACCGCGCCGGGTCGGCGCCAGCTGACTGATTCCAAACATCGCTGTCGTCGCGCTCTCTCTCTCTCTCCGCGCGTTGGAGTGAGAGAGACGCAGCCCGCGGAGAGCGCCGGCCTGGGCTAGCCTGGGCAGTCGTTATGCTAATGGCCGGCCGTCTCCGTTCATTGGCTGAAGCAGGCGGGCGATTCAGAAGAGCGGTTCTTCGCTCCGTCTCCCCCGCACCCTCATGGAGGGCCCCGCGAGTGCGACAGAGACGGCGGCGAGACGGCTCCTCTGGGCCGCTCGGCCGCCTGCCGCGGCTGCTGCTCGAGTCGCACACTGCCGCTGTCGTGCGGCCTGCAGATGGGAAACATCCATAAAAACATGACTGCGTTCCACGTGTGTCTGTTTTGCTGGGAAGGGGGCTGAATTTGCGTAATGATTGGGCGTAGTGAATTTGTTTCTCCGCCTCCGGGTTTGTTTCCTGCCCACTTTTGACTACTAACGGGGTTCGCGTTCGGGCTGCCGGTCGCAGGGAGGGTGCTGTCTGCAGGCAGATTCCGAGAGTCGTTTTCGTCGCTGACTTTCTCGCACTCATGCGGCCCGTGCAAGTGCGTCAGAGACTGAGCATTGTTCGCAATGGGAATCCGCGAGCGCGGGCAGAGTGGGTGTAAATCTAGCTCGTCTGTATTTCGGTACCGAAGACACCTTCCCACCCTCCCCCCTCCCCCTCCTCGCAGCGGCGGATCAGTGAGCAGAAAACGGGATGCCTTCTGGGTCATTAAGCAGATTCCCTGAGGCGGCGATTGTGTAACGACCGTCCGGGGGAATGTTGTGCCTACACTGCCAGTGGGATGAGGGCTCCGAAGGGTTCGTTTCGGAGGAAGACCGTGGCTGCGCCAGCGCTGGACTGTAGACTGATTCCGAGAGTCGTCGCTCTGTCTCTCTCGCACCTACGGGACGCCCCAATGAGTGCGAGAGAGACAGAGCGACGGCTCTCGGAATCGGTCTGCAGGTGAGGGGAGGGGCCGCGGCCGTGAGGGATGGCGGCGAGGCGGACCGACAAGCACGTTGATGGCCTCGGCCAACTCGCCCGGCGAAGTGCGCGAGCGCGGTGGCCGCTGACGGACCATTAGTTGGGCATCCGCGCCCCGACAACGGCGAGACTGGCACTGCACTGCAAGGCACGGCACGGCGGCCATCGCACCGCACTGCTGCTGCTGAGCGTGGCCGTCGGGGTCCCTATTTAATGGAGCGGGTTAACTGGTCCGCGTCATGCGTCGCGGTCGTGGCGCTCCCTGGCGGTGGGATTCGCAGCCCGCGACCCCCCGCCCCCTCCCCCTGCGGCCCCGTAATCGGATTCCCACGCCCGTGTGCCTCTCGCCCTCCCCGCCCCGCCCGGCCGTTGGCCCAGCCCTCTGGTTCAGCCAGGCTGGCCGCAGAGAGGCTGCAAAATGCAAATGCGTCATTTTTCAATTACATATGCCAGCACACGTCACGGCGACATGTGGTGGGCAGTGTAGGCCCGCGGCGGCAGCTGCGGCCTCCATGGCGGCCTCCATGGCGACGCCCCGGGGCGCCATGACCACGTCGTTGGCATGGCAGTGCAGCGGGATGTTATTATTCCCCATGGTGGGCAGGCGGCATGTGTCTGCCTGCACTTTATGACAGCTGCTAGTTCGCCGCGCCGCTCTGATTCAGCGCATCGGATTGCGATACGGGGCTCGGCCCCTGACCCGGCGCCACCGACCTGTGACGTCATCATCAAGCCGCCACGAACGGGGACATCGGTGCGACGGGCCGACGGGTCGCATCCAGTCTATAAATATTGGAATCAGCCGTGCGGCGCGGGGGCTAGGCCGAGGGCTAGGCGGGCGGGGGCGGGCGAGGCCCCAGCGTAGTGACAGCAGAGGGCAGCTGTCCGGGATGGGCGACACATTGCATCCGACGTGCACGCCACGCCGCGCCACGCCACGCCACGACGCGCTCTGGCCGTGGAGGTCAACTCGGCCGAGGGCGGCGGTCAGGCCGCGGGGGTGGTGCCGCACTATTATGCAAGGGCTCGCGGTGACTAAGTGAGAAGTTGTGTTCGACTGCGGGCCGGGACATGCGTCGCGCCGCACCGCGCCGCACCGCGCCGCACCGCGCCGCACCGCGCAGCACCGCGCCGCGCAGCACGCCCGCCGGCACTTTCAGGCATTAAGTTGGGGGGTCGCGGCACCGCGCGGCGCGCCAGTGCGAATCTGTGGAGAAGTCAAGGTGAGCCCGGCGGAGGCTCACGGTCAGACAGACAGACAGGCGGACTCACAGACAGCCACCTCAACCCACTCAGACAGCCACCTCAACCCACTCAGACAGACTAGCCCTCACAGACAGACTTGCTCACAGATAGGCCGGATAGATTCATTGCGCGCGGAGTTTGAGAATACCGATTTTTGAGATGGACTCGTTAAGGTCAAGAGGCGATCGGACAGACGGACAGACACAGGGGGCGGGCGGACGGGCAGGCAGCTCGGAGCAGCACGTGAGTTAGTGCGACCGACCGCCACTATGCAAATGGCACGCGGTCCCTATGAAGATGCAAATCAGCTTGGCAATCAATTAACAAGTGGAGGGACGTGTGCACACCCTGCGTAGCACTGCATAGTCTGCGCGCGAGGAAACCAGGCGGACAAGCAG